AACTTTATTTATATTATCTAACTTTATCAAATTAATTTTATCATCTTCAAAAGTGAAGAATCTTCAATATTTAAATTTAGATTTTAATAACTAATTTCACTGGAAAATAGAATTATTTATAATATTACATACTCTGAAAGGTTTTTAGAAATTAATGGAAATGGATTAAAATTACAACACACACAACACTAAACCTTATTGAAGGAGTCCACAAAACTTTACTTTTGAAACATTTTCAGGAGGCATGCCTCTCATTTTCAGCAGAATTATACAACACACTATAAAGCTATGGCTACAATACAAATTTTTAAGATTTCTGTTCTTGAATGCTATAAATCAGTGGTCCCCGGGCCGCGGACTGGTACCGGTCCATGGATCAAATGGTACTCGGCCGCCCAAGGAACATTAAATTACTGGTACAATATTTCCATTTTATTTACTATGGTATATTTCTCTTGGGTTTGTGTGACTTTTAATGGATGACGGAACAACGGAATAAACTGGACATAAGAAAAACACTTCGGGTGTTGTTATCTCCTATTACCTCCAGATGGAACCATCTTGTTGCAAAGAAACAAGCTCAGGGTTCTCATTGATTTAACGTTCTAGTGAGTTAAAATGTTAAATCACATTATATTCATTTTTTGGTGTAACTATATTTTATTTTGAAGGCATGTTTAAATACAATTAAATTAAAATTATTAAATTAAATCAATCTAAAATATAAACAATCAACGTCCCCCCTCAGTGGGCCGTGGTAAAATATCAAACGTTGACTGGTCCGCGGCAATAAAAAGGTTGGGGACTGCTACTTTACTGTATTGTTGCATGAACCATTTGTAAATGCCCACATCAAATTCATCGTTCTCACCTTTTGCATAACTTTTTGTTTCCCAACTCACTATCCATTTGACTGGGATACTGTCAAAGTTGAGTCTCTTTCATCTTTATGTCATAAACATTGGTACATCCAACATTGTACTCAGTAGCAATGGATTTTTTTGGAAACAACCTTGCTTTAATTTTGCTAATATTTCCAATTTTTGCGTAAATTCTAACATAACATGTTTTCTTTTTGAAGTAATATCTGAAGGTCACCATGCCAAGTTTACCACTTTCCATACTTCTTAATCAAAGCTAAAACCTCACACACGTGAAGTTTGTTTCAAAAAATGGCATCACACTGGACAGCTATCCATGTGACACACTTCATTTATATCAATAAAACAGCTGGAAGCCAGATAATTGAGAGGCCGGATTAACAAGAGTGTATTGTAATAGTTTTTTATGTACAGTATTCTATTTACAGGTAACAAAATCATAGCTTTTCCAAAATATTAAGCCAAACTATCATTGTAATTAATCAAGCTATTATTTGGCTTAGTATCAATACATCAGGTCTTGGGAAGTTGACATTTAGATAAATTATAACTCTCATGGTTTTCCCATCAGTTCTGCAATACTTTTTTTTAAAGAAGCTGACATATTTTCAAGTAAACAGATGTTTTATTCATATCATTAAATAAACATTAAATTTTTTTTAAAATATCAAGCACTATTATCATATATCTTATTTTTAAATAAATTATTGAATTTGACTACATTAAAGCATTGAAAACAGTTAATTTAGTAGTAAAAAAATGAGTATAAATTTATGCTTCACTATAGCCTGTATCAACGTTTCCCAAACTCCTTGGTAAAGTGGAGCCATTAAACAAGGAAATTTTTTATGCAGGGTCCTCATAATTCATTGACNGCTCCACGACGAAAACAAGCTTAAGCAATGGCGCGGTCGAACGGTGCACACTCGGTAAGTAATCCTACAATTTTTTGTTTATAGCATAGTTTATATGGATTATTCCCAAAAAATTATACGTATTTTGGAAATGTTGAGTCGAATTAGTCTAGAATGGATTAATTTTATGGAAGAAACCTTTCAAACAGCCGTAGTCTGTAAACTGCATATGTGCCAGGCTGTGATTGGCTGGACTCGTAGAAAAAGGATTCATAAAAACCGGAACATATCTACCGTGTTATAGGGAGGTTGACTGTATTTAAAATAATTAAATTAATGAAACAATGTTTAGATGCTACTCTAAATGTTGTGATAATATACATCACATTTTTAATATTCAAATAACTGTTTATTAATTAATTAAGAGCCAGAATTAATTTTCTGTTTTTTAAATAATAATTTTCAGCCTGTTTCTTGTGGTAAATTCACTATATGTTGGAATATTAATAATAATAATTTGATTATCGAAGATTTTTATGAATCATTCTGCGTACACTTTATCAATAGTTATGATAAAATATTTAATAAATTATAAGAGAATAGTTTAAAATTCAAAATTGTCATCCTTTTAAAAGAATTTGTAAATTCTGGTTATAGTAGTAATTAAATGATTGGGCTAAGTTTATATATGGATTTTACTTGCTCAGACTAATCTAATCTACAGTTATGAGAATAATTTTCATTCAGGTTTGTAAATGAACCCAGAAATATTTTCACCAAAAAAGTTTATTTTACAATTTCCATTACACAATTTCAATAATCACAACAAACATTTAATGCATAAACTTGTGATCTTAAAAATCTATCATAAAACTATCCAGAAGAGAAGATGGAAATGTGAGAGGAGGAGAAATTAAAAAGTTCAATATGGGAGAGGTATCTCTAAGCTCAAGATGGTGGATGAAGGCAGTTGATGTTCTCTCTGTATATGTAAAATGTGAAGGGCAATCCTTCATGATATTGAATTTTCTGTTTGTTAGTGACTTTATTGTCCCAATTTCATATAAACTTTATTGTCGCCATGTCCTAGTGACCTTGAGCCTTCCTTCCATATACACATGCACTTTCAATTTCTTGCACCTATTGTACAAAACACCCCTCCACTTCTTCTGGGTTATAGCCCTTTAGGCAATGAACCAACAAGACTAAAAAGAAAGACAAAAGAGAAAAGCAGAGAACATTCCAGAAGATCTAGAACTAAAATATATTTACATATAATATGTAACAGGTGGCTGTCACACAGTTTTTAAAATCATCTTTATTATGCAAAGTCCAAATCTAAATAGTTTTCAAACATTTATGTATAGATTTTACATAAATTTAATATAATTATATGGATTAAGTTTTACTGGTTTTATAAACCCTGTAATTTAATGATTTTATTCATTCAAATTTTTTTTCTTTTATAGATCCAGTTATTTTGAAATATCTAAGTGAAATATTTTTCTCTTAATTCTTCAAATTCTTATATCTTACTTTCTCTATTTATATGTCCTTAGTTTATAGGAGATCATATTAAACATTTTGCATATTTATTTATATTTCAAATTAAGTGTAATGTGATTATTCCTTCATCAGTTACATTTCAAAGGTTTAATCAATATTTAAAAATTTGTTTCTTTTTTTCATCATTATATTGTGAAACTTATTGGCAGTTATGAACAAAAATTGTTAAGAAATCAAGGAAATTTTTTCTTTGACTGAATGACATTTTATTTTCACATCTGTATTATTATTTTAGTGGCTACAATCAACTTTAGAGCTTATAAACAGTATTACTATTAATAATACACTGTTCTAATGCTTTTATGAATTAAATGTATTATTCAAAATTTAAAAAATGATTTATTTAAAAACTTACATTAAAGTTAATTGCTTTAATTCTATTTAATTTTAAATCAGCAATGGAAGAATTGATGAAGATTTAATTTTAATATTAAAAAAATTTTTTCTTATACATCATTTAAATAACCTTAAACTTAAGAAATTTGAGATCCTATTGAGAAGAATATTAGATTTTATGATTCTATTCATGCTAATTTGTTAGCTGGAAGACCTTTTTCAACATTTTGGGAGAAATGAAGATTTAATTCTGATTCACTTGAATAATTTTAAAATTCACTTGAATAATTTCAAAAGACGTTTTAAAAAAAAAGTCTTTCGTTTTTATTTTTAAAATGATACAACACTTTTTAAAAATACAAAAAAAAAAAAAAAAACAGCTCCTATGTTAGCTTATTTGTTAAACTGCTTTTTCAAAATTTGTATTTCTCATTATTCCTAGTGCTCTCAGGGTTACTGCAACCTATTATCAGGGACGTTCATAATAAGTATCAAGAAATTATAAATTGTCAAAAAATCAGTTTATATGAGAAAATAGTTTAAAAAATGATATATTCATTTAACATAAAGTTGGGATGGCTGGATAGTTAAAGCAGTTAAGGCATCACTCTGGCAGACCCAGGATCTAATCTAGATAGTAAAAAAAACCCATGAATTAGATCTGAACAGACCTAAAAATTAATGTTTTTAAAATAAATTTATTAATTGGCCAACAAATAATTAAATAGCACATATCTAACATTCATAAAATTTCCAACATTTAGCCAAATTGGTTTTTGTTTCATTAATAATTAAAAACATGAAAATAAAAACAAATAACTAGGTTAAATTTAAAATAATCAGAATTTGATTATTTTTAAATGGATGACAAATCATAAAATATTTTAAATTTACTATTTTTAAAAAATTACAGAATTAATGATATTTTTTTTATCATGTGCATTTTGGTTTAAGTGGCCCACTCTAACTATATTATCCAGTTTAATATCTATTTAGAAAAATGAAATATTTAAATTTCAAATTTTATTATATATATAGAATATTAATTATGTTAAATTTCATAAAATATTTGTGTATATTTCTTACAAATTTATATTTAAATATATTATATTTGGCAATGGAACACTTTCTTAACAGCACTGACAAAACTTATTTATAAAATGAAATTTTAAATCTCATGGAAATGCGCATGGAGATTTTTTACTGCATGATGAATCAGTATTTGCACAACAGTTGTAAGTTTTGGTATGAAGTGGCACGTACTGCCTGACTATTAAAGCTCTGATACAAATAGAATTACAACTGAAAAAAAGTATTTTTCACTGTCTAGTGGCTGTTAAGTGAAAAGTGGAAAATTGGCTAGCACAAGACATCAAGTGAAATCCATCAATTACAGAATTTCCATGAGGTTGCATACAAAGCAGATGACCGCAAGGATTTACTGTGTGCCATTAATGAGTTTCTGGATGATAGCATTGTACTTCCACCTGGGGACTGGGAAAGAAAATCTTTGCTGCCTATTCAAGAGATTAGGAAGAAATATCAAGAAATTCGTCAAAGGAAAAGGAAAGAAGAAAAAGAAAAAGGTAATTACTCTTAACATTGCATGTTTGTTTCAAAAACTTTAAAAGCTTGTATACAATATTCGTACAAATAATATGGATAAAATTTTGTACTTCTGTTTTTGTATATAAATATCATATGCAAGGAAAACATTCTTTGTAAAAATATTAACTTTATTGATTTATTTTATCAATATACTTCATTAAAATGACATAAGCATATTGTAAATTCATAAATAAAAGTTATCAACATGGAATTGAATTAATAAAATTTGAATGTTAATAATGTATTAATTATTATAGTATGATTAAAATTTTAAAAAAATTGAACATAAGAAATCTGGATATACAAAATATAATAACCATATTAAGAAAATGTCATAACACCTTGCACACATCCAGCAATATGTTTTTAATGTATATCTAAACGTATACCAAACAAACATTTTTGGCTCTATTTAGAGCCCACTTTAGGCTTTCATTAAAGAAAAAATACATTAAAATGTTATATTGATGAAAAAGTGTGCAAGATATTGTTTTATTTTAAAACAACACCTTTTAAAACAAATTCAAAACTTTTTATCTATAATTGAATGTGCTGTCAAATTATACTAATGGAAAAAAGTAGAAATAGCATTACATTCAATGAAATATTAAATTTCATTTGCATTCATTTACTACATTAAGAGAATCTGAACAAGTAAAATATATCTTAAAGCAATTGAAATTTGCATTAGTTTACTTATATATGAAATTCTTTATATTAAGATATTTTCCTAATAAAAAAAATTGTAAACAAATTCATTTTGAATGTAAAGTATTTGGAAAAGTATTTTTATCAGTCTGCTTGTAATTTCTGAAGTATTTTTTCTTTGTTTTAAATAATTTACCAGTAGTCATATGTAGAAAATGCATTAGTTAAATATGTACAAAATATTTAATACATAATTCAGAATATTGTATATAATATATTAGCATACATAATAACAAATTAACATACTATTTAAAAGTATTGTTCTTTATAGCATAATCTGATATATTTGAACTTAAATTAGATAAATATATATATAGTTTTTAAACTGTAGAAATACATCTTAATGTAGAAGGTATGGTTGCTGTATTTTCAAATTCTGCATATAGCATCTTTGCAATCCAAACAATAATTTTGGTAGACGATCAAACAGCAATTAGTTAGAAAACATTTTAAATAAGTGTTTTAAATCAACCGTAACGTTTTCTAACTAATTGCTGTTTGATCGTCTACCAAAATTATTGTTTGGATTGCAAAGACGCTACACACAGAATGTAGAAATACAGTTTATTTTGAATCCTTTTAGCTTTATCTTAGATTTAGAATTTTGTTTTTATTATATAATTCACTTTAGCAATATGATATTTTGCAGAACCAACTAATTTTCCTTCCTATGACCCTTTACAACGTTCTCGACGATGTTTTGGAGGTGTCATTAATGACATTAAGCATCGTTTTCCTTGGTATCTAAGTGATCTGAAAGATGGTCTTAATGGCCAATGTTTAGCTGCAGCAATTTTCATTTATTTTGCTGCTCTTTCTGGTGCTATAACATTTGGTGGTTTGATGGGTAAGTAATATTCATTGAAGTTTATAACAGAAATATGAAACTTACAATGAGGTTATTTTAATAAATCAACATTATTGTACAATTAAAGTAACTAAAATTTTTGTAACTTTTGTATTGACAAGATTTTCTATAGAAGATATCTTTTATTTAAAAATATTCACAAATAAATTATTTACATCTTTTGCTGTTTAAGGGGATAAAACTAATAATTTAATTGGAGTATCTGAAACATTGATAGTTACGGCAGCTTCTGGTGTTTTGTATTCTTTATTAGCTGGTCAGCCTATGGTAATTATTGGAACAACTGGCCCTGTTCTTCTGTTTGACGAGATTCTCTTTAAGGTTAGAAAAATGCATTTGAAATTATAACACATTTTTACAGGATGTAAAATTTTTCAGTTATATTAATATGACATAAAAATCTTTTATTTTTAATTACAGTTCTGCAATGACAATGATATAGAATTTCTTCCAATGAGAGTTTGGATCAGTTTTTGGGTGGCAATTATTGCTACTGTAGTTGTTGCACTGGAAGGAAGTGCTTTGGTTCGATTTTTCTCTAGATTTACTCAAGAAATATTTGCTGCTTTAATTTCTTTATTGTATATATATGAAAGTTTCAATAAATTATATCAGGTAAAATTATTTTCTTTATGATGATTTTAAACAATTGAACTTAAAGAATTTTATTAGCTATGATTTTTAAATTTTTAAATTTTTTTCTTTATATATTACAGCAAACTAATTTAAAATTGAATCATTTCAGGTATTTTTACAGCATCCACTTCTTTCTGACTATTGTAATATATCAAATATTAGCAACCTTAACGAAACTTCATCAAATTATACTAATATTTCACAAAATTCAAGTTTAAGAGATTTTAATGTTTCAAGCACAAAAGCAACAAATTTTACTAAAAAACTTGCTGTTCCAGAGATGATTAATCAGCCCAACACTGCTTTATTATCAGCTATTATGATGATTGGAACATTTTTCATAGCTCATTTTCTTCGTCATTTTCGTAATAGCAAGTTTTTAGGAAGAAGTGTAAGTAATAATTATTAGTAGTAAGTATTGTCATTTTTAAACCATACAACTAATACTAACAGTTATATTTTACAAGTGCGTATATACACTCGAACTCTCGCACTCAGAGAGAGTGAGGAGTCATATCTCTAGAAATAGTGTGTTTAAGAATCAATGGCATCTTAGATTTGATGTAATATGCAGCCCCTATTGCCAAGTGTCTTATTTCTCATTTTTATTTAAGAAGTCACTAATTCCATTGTGTCATTTTAATTTTATTAGACCACTATTTGTAATAGTAAATATTTAAGAGATTGATCTAACTCCTCCAAGTAGGCCTACATACTAGTTTATTGTAATAAACTTGTATGTAGGCCTACATGGATGAAAATCTCAAAAAAGTTGTGCCAGCACTCTTACAAGAAATGCTTCATTTTCCAATGCTTTAAATGACATTGAGGATGATTGCATGTGGAAGATGTGACTTCATGCTTTGATAAAAGCATGAAGTCACGATTCTTGCTTTGATAAAAGCATATAACATCTATTAATTTAAATATATCTATTAGCCGTAACTATCTCGTTATAATTTTCAATATTTATTTTATATTATTTACTAATGTTAAATTCTGTTCTGCTTCGATTTCCAAATTGTTTCAAATATGAAAGAATCAATGATTTTTCGTGTCTTTTGCCAGCTAAATTGTCAAAGCCATTCTTATTCCACACACTAATTTCATTTGAACTACTACAGTATAACAGTAGTAACAAGCCAACAAAACAATTCTTTCATTTTTATGCATTTACAAAGCCATTTTATCATGAAAATGTCAAACAAACTTTTTTATTGAAGTGTTTATATTTAACTTAGGCATTGGCCTTTCTCTTTTAATGATGTTTTCTTTTTCATTATATGATCTTGAGCCAAAACTTTTTCAAAATAAATTTTCAATATCGCAATTACATTCTGAATCGCTAGCCACGATATAAGGGCTAAAATTAAAAATAAAATTATAAAAACTTACTTAAAATATAATGTGGTAGATATACATACCTGGTACAAAATATTGTTCAATTATATGAATATGCTTTTAAAGATAATTATAATTAAATATAGCTTTGTAAAGAAATGTACATAAAAATAACATAAAATATTGTTTACTTTTTAAATCTTAACCACTTAGTCAAATAGCTCCCTACAAGTAGAATCAGAGACAGTCCTGCTAGGTGTGTGGTGCGAGCATGCACGCGGGCTGCCAAATCCCGAGGGTGCCGATACCAGTTAATGTCAAATGCCTCTTTTGTTGCATCACTAGTATATCTCAAAGGATGCGACAAATTTTAAACGTTTCTCACCATAGCTGTAAAAATCTAAATATGTTAAACTTAATAGATTGTCCATCATGTTTTCTAACTAATTCGTTTTAGGACCAGGTGTTGTCCACAGAAATTTCAAAAATTTACAACTTTTCGGGCACTCTTGTTGAACTGGAATAATTTTTGTCTTTATTACATCTAATATTTTGAATAAATCAGTCCCCACTGTACTCGGCTAGAGATTGGTTCGGTTAGGCTTTTGTTTAAGTAAAATTTCGGCTCTTTCATCAGGGTTTTGTTTATGTCCCCAATTCCCTAATCACTTAATTATTTGACTACTACTTAAGTAGAAATAAATCGAAACCGGTTACTTTGTACTCGAATATTTGTAGTCTCGGGAAAAAAGTGGAAAGAAATTTTTATGACAAATGGATACATAAATCATAAATTTAAGGAAAATAAATTCTAGAACTTTTTTTGTACCTCGTGCATCTTTCTCATTCATTAAATTTAGTTGTAAACGATGCTGTCGAAGTAACTGTTCATTTTTTTAACATTATACAAGAATTGTACACATTTTTTTTCTACATCCCCTTAAAGATGGGATATACAAAATCGTAATATCACTGGTTTAACATTGAAATCCCTGAGTAATATAAAATCGGAGAGCGGAATAAAAATATCAAATATTTTAATGGACTTTTTTTAACTCCTGTCAACTATAGAGAACTATCGTAAAAACATACCAGTAAATTCTTATCGGTTGGGTTAAGTTATAAATCTACCTGTGATTCACGTAATCGGGCAAGGGCAGCCAAATATCTAGTAGGCAGGAGGCTAACAGCCCAGAACTGGTTGTGGATAGAATTGGATGCGGTATACATGTAGCATACACCTGAGGTCCTAGGCTTCCACCAGTTAAACCGGATGAGGTTGGTGCTCTGTAAAGTGCAAATCTGGCTTTTTGGATGCTGATGATACAGTGCTTCCACTCCACCACTAATATTCGAATATACAATAGCAATCTTATTTTTTTTTTCACGTGTAGTATAGAAATTTGTAATAAGATACATAATGCAATTATAATAAAATATTGTGCAATTATTTTCATATAATTAAAATTAATATGTATTTATTTTTTAGAAAATGCAAGAGAAGCGGCACATCCACCGCTTTCAATGACGGCACACCACTGCTACCATGGAAGATATATAACTTACTTTACTGTGTGCAATAAATACTAATTCTGCTGACAAATTTGTCTCAAATTATCTATTAAAAGTAATTTGCTAGTGATCATGTAGGAATTAAGGTACATCTTACATTTGTAAGCTCATCGACCTGGTGGAGATTGGGGACTTAAAATCCCACTTCTCGGACACCAGTGTAAGCTCGCTGACCTTTAGGGGAATAAATTAATCCCATGTCAGGATAAACCTAAGGAATGTTTGCAGCCATTTATTTTGTAGCATTTATGCTTACATCAATGTTTGACAGTTCCAAATATTGGTGTTCCTTCAGAGTGGCAAGAGTTCATTCTATCAGTCGTAGCCTCAGGGTGGACAAGATGGGCTTTTTGGACAGATGGGGATGATCGCAGAGATACTAAGTTGGCCACACAACACAATTTAAAGAGCACTACTTTCAGTTTAATCCAGAGGAAGAATCTTTCAACCTTGAATTTTAGATTTTTACAGTTTTTCTCCTGTTATGCATATTTCTGATTGTCCTCTTGTTCATTCCTTGCTTCCCAATTGGTCTCTCCTTTATTTCCAGGTGAAAACCGAGACCTAATCGGGTCATGAGAAAGGTCCGATTCAAGGCATCTATTCGACACTTTTTCGTTGACTATGCCTGGAGATTGTTGATAAGATTTAGAACCATAAGATTTGCACTCATAATTTAACCTGTTTGTAATTTATGTTGTCTTGGAACATAACGATCATATGCAATATTTTTCTATCCATCAAATCTTTCTCCTTTTCTGAAATTGATCGACTTTTCCTAGATCGACTGTTTATGAGCGCTCGAGTCGGAGTTCTATCTTTCCCCACCAACATTCCATCTGATCTGTTACGTTATTTGTTTTCATGTCATGTTTGTCTGACAGTTAGTTTTTTCTCTCCTCTCCCTTACATAACTAACATCACCTTTGATTGACTCAAGAATAGCATTTTTGCTTTTAATTAATTTGAAATTAAATTTTTGTTTCACCCCATTCCAGAACCTCACACATTTGAGTAAATACTAAATAAATAAATATAAAATAAAATTATTAGAACACTGTTCTCAATATAGTCATACAATATCCATATATACAGATGGTTCAAAATCAACGATAGTAGGAGCAACTTTTGTCTGCATTGAGGCAGCTTATGTTACAGAGTGCCTGCAAAAAACAACAGTCTACACTGCAGAGCTGTTTGCAATCCTCATGGTTCTCCAACATACACAAAGACACATCCACAGACAGACAATAATATATACAGACCAATGCAGCACACTACAGGCAATCAACAGTTGTAGGATAACAGACTACCCAACACTAAGTAGCATTCAACACCTACTCCAACATCTCAAACATGTAGGAAATACAATATTGGCTGCCAGGACATATAGGACTCAAAGAAAATGAAATAGCAGACAAACTTGCAAAACAAGAAAACAGGAACCAAGCAAGAGCTTTCAGACCATATAATGACCTTTACAGCCATATCAACAAGTACATATACAACAAATGGCAAGAGAACTGGAACAAACAACTCAACAATAAACTACACACCATAAAACTAGAGTTAATAAAATGGACAACTAGTCAACAGAAAAATTGGAAAAAATAAATAGTACTTGCATGCCAAGAACTGGACATACGAGACTAACACATGATTATCCCTTGTTAGTAGATAATTAACCAATATGTTTGACTTACCACCCAAGATATATTACTAACATGCTGTCAGTACAAAACAGCCAGAGAACACTACCTTCAATGAGTATCTTCAGATGACCAAGCTCTACAGAATATACTAGATGAGAATGGACAAATTCAACCTACAATGGCATATCTGGATGTAATAAACTTATATACAGGACTCTAGGGGACACAACTGAAGAACAATGAGATGTTACTGTATGCCCTCTTGAGTCTTTTGATAGAACTGGCTAGACCTGGCATTTTTTGGCCTACCTAGGCCCTTGTGCCAGAAAATCTCAAATTTAATCAAGCAACCAAATAAAATTGTTAATCCTATGATTATGCTAAAGCAAATTCTTCAAAGGAAGAAAAAGTTAATTTAAAGTATTTGTTTATTGAGGGAACTTACAATACAAAATATTTTCAATAGAAGCATATTCTTTTGTTTTTGAATTTTATTGTTAATAGGAAAGACATTCTTTATCATGTCATCTGATCAAAAAATAGGGAAGAACAATTTTTTACAAGGATTAACATTTATGAAGTGGTAAAAATAATTTACCATTTTTTTTTACTTTATACTTATTTTTACTTCATAAATTTATAGGAAAATAAATTTTTCCAGAATTTTGATCATTTAGTGCAAATTGATAATAAATTTGATACATTTATTTACAAAAGTATATTATAATGTTAGTATTAATATTTAAATTTAGTAGGAAAAATTATCATAAATTGATATTAATTACTGTCTCTAATGATTGCTTGTAGCTTTTTAGATAGATATATAAACTCATTTAATTTGTTTTTTTTTTTTTAAGGCAAGACGAGCATTGGGAGATTTTGGTGTTCCTATTGCCATTATTATTATGGTTGGATTAGATGCTTCAATCAATCAAATATTATTTGGTTTTTAAAATAAATTTTTTTTGTTTAGAAACTTAGTGTACCAGAAGGTCTTAGTCCTAGTGACCCTTCTCAAAGAGGATGGCTTATTTCTCCTATAGGATTACAGAGACCAATTGCTGTTTGGCATGCATTTGCTGCTTTTATTGCTGCAATTTTAATATTTATATTGCTTTTTCTAGAAATTCAAATATGCGAGTAAGTAATTGCTTTTGTTAGTATTTCATTAATAATTTTCATGTAATAATAAAACGTGATTTTAATCATCAGTGCTGTAACTAGATAGGTGTAACAAGTACATGGCACAGAGCCTGGGATGAAGGTGAAATGAAAAAAAAATTGTCAAATATACTGTAATAATAATTTTGTTTATAAATACATGTGAATGATCTTGAATATTTCTTGTGTACACAAATTATTTATAAATAACTGTTTTATTAGTTACTTATAAAAATTAAGATGACCAAAAATAAAAACCTTGCAGAGGGCAGATGAAAAGCTAGATACAACAATGGTAACATATAGGCCTATCATGCTTGGGAAAAACTTAGATGTAAGATATCTCTGAATGGTGCAGTAACTGAAAATATTGAGTTGAACTGAAAGTTTGTTTTGTTTTTAGAAAGAAAGAAAATATAATATTGTGGAATAAATAAAAACCTTTAATCCACAATGTATTCACCCTTCTGTTTGATAACATTATGCCAGGAGTCACCAAACTATGGCCTGCGAGCTAGATCTGGCCTGCGAGGTCAGTTCATCCAGCCCACCACCACACTGTGCCGTAAATGAGCTAAAATATAATTATTTATATGGAAATATCATAGATTTTAGATGAATTTATTCTTATTTTAATTTTTTCTACACAGTAAGTAAAAATGCCAAAATTAGTCCAATCGGATTTTTGCATCTGACAGTAATATAATTTTTAGGAAAATCAGTGAAATGAAATTTTCAGCTTTTTGCAACTTTGAATATCAGAGTGCTTTTTATGTAAGTTCCTGCAATGAAGTTTCTAAGAAAAGTAATTATGAGCTTGCTGCAGCAATCGTGTTTGTGTATTGGTAAATAAATATATTGGTTGTCTTTAGTTTTTGTGTATTCAGTGTGCTGTATTGGACAAAATTGAGTCCCATGTTTGTCATTTTCTCAGTTATGTGGCCTGCTGTGAAAAAAGTTTGGTGACCTCTGCCTTATGCCATCTGACAGGTAGTTTCATAATTTCATCTGTGTAGAATTAGGTGAGTTTCTGATTGAAGAAATTATCAATGAGATTTTTCATACTTTCTAAAGATTGAAATTTTATGCCATTTAAATTATTCTGCAATGAACAAAAAAGATTATGCCTGAGAGAGCAATATCTGGAGAATATGCAGGGTGACTCAAAACATCCCAGTTAAAGTCTGGAAGTTTTTGGCACATGTTTAATGATTTGTGCAGCCTTGCATTATCATGATGGAATACCAGTTCCTGTCGATTTGCAAGTTCTTTACATTTTTGATACACTGCAGCCTTTAGTTTACCCAGTTGGAGACAATATTTGTTGGAATTAATTGTTTGGCTGTTGGGTAAAAGCTCATAATAAATTATGAGCTTTTACCCAACAGTTTGGTGGGATTTGTACCCAACAGTTTGGTGGGATTTACCCAACAGTTTGGTGGGAAAAGTAAAGTTTTCAGTTTGGTGGGGTTGGATCCCACCAAACTGAAAACTTTACTTTTCTGGTATGCAACCAGTTTTAGGTTGCGGCACTCGCAGATTACCTGGCTTATTCCAAGACCTCTTGCATTGAAAATTGTTATAAATGATTCATTTTTTATTGCCTGTTATTAATCTCTTTAAAAATGGATCATCATCATTGCATTTTAAAACTGAATCACAAACAGAAACATGCTCAATAAGGTTTTGTTCACTTTACTGATGGGGAACCCAAACTTCATAATGGGAAAGTATCCAAGGCTAGCCAAATGTCTGACAACAGATGTTGGCTATCTCTTGTGTTGTTCTATGATGATCATTTAGGATTAAAGCCATTATGGACTCATCTTCTATAGTCGAAGGCTGTTCTGACAGAGATGCATCTTTGAGAGAAAAATCTCCTGCCCTAAATTTTGAAAACCATTTCTGGAATATTCGATCAGTAACTGCATCCTCCATACAGCACATCTTTTGAGTTTTTGCTGCATTTTTTCCTGTTTGGAAATAATAGAGCATGAGATGTCGAAAATGCACCTTCTTATCTTTTACTTTAATGTTTTTTTTTCTTAAAAGATAACAGAATTTAAAAAAATAGCTGTAACTAAACTTATGTATTAAATATGCAAATATTCATAATGTACTGTACACCTAAACAAGTTAAAACTTGATAAGCATGACAGAGGCAACACAGATGAGCAATTATGTAAATACCTGAATGAACTTTCAGTTCAACCTAATATTAGTTTATTCTAGAAGTCTTTTGTTGGTAATTAAAGGCTTGAACTCACATTAAACTAACACAAAATAAAAATATATATTTTTATTTTGTGTTAGTTTATTGTGTTAGTTATTTTGTGAGATTTGAGTCAAATATATATTTGACTCAAATCTCATTATTCTAGGTAGATTAGAAAAGCAGGATTTTTAATTCTAAAATGTTTATTAAATTTAAATTGTATTTTTCTGTAGACTAATAATTAACAAGAAAGAAAGGAAATTAAAAAAAGGATCAGGATTTCATCTTGATTTGATATTAATTAGTTACATGGAAATAGCTTGTGCTTTGTTAGGTGGACCTTGGATGTGTGCAGCAACAGTTAGATCTGTATCTCATGTTGCAAGCTTAACTGTAATGAGTCGTACACATGCACCTGGTGAAACACCTTATGTAATTGAGGTTAAAGAACAAAGGGTGAGCAATCTTTTTGTATCCAGTCTTATAGGTATGTTTCCTTTATTATTATAATACAATTTTGATTTTGAAACTTTGCATGATTTAGTTTGAATTATTTACATGAAATAGGAATTTCTGTTCTTATGGCACCATTGTTAAGAAAAGTACCTGTTGCTGTGCTATTCGGAGTTTTTCTATACATGGGTATCTCTTCAATGAGTGGTATTCAGTTGTTTGAACGCATACAGTTACTATTTATGCCTGTTAAACATCATCCTGAAGCTCCTTATATTCAAAAGGTAAGCAAAAAAGTATATTGATTATTTTGAGCTTTACTTTGTAACATTGCAATACTTCCAAATGTTCTGTTCTTTCCTTGTGACTTTTTTATAATTGAGCATTTTGTATGTGCTGTATTGTTGTTAGTATTTGATTGCTTGCTGTTCTCATAATTAGTTGTATATACTTTGGAATTAGCATAAAGTTGAGAACAAATCACACAAGGAACATTTCATTTTGATGGAAAAAGTAAGTTTATTTTAAATATAAAATCAAATTAAAAGCAATGGGATTGGTAAAAAATTCCTTAAATATGTAAATTCTAAAAATAATTTCGGAATGTTAACGAGTAATGTACACTTTATATCTGATTTTTTTGAGAAATTTATTAGGCAGACAAACAAAATAACCAATAGTAAACCTTTATTTTTGCTTTTCTCAAAAATTCTAAAAGTTCCATATGCATTTCACTTTTCTCAAAAAGTCTCATCAGTGGATACATTCATTTGCCAACTGTTGTTCCCTTTATACTGGACAATGTCATCCCAGCATGCATCTACATTCAAACCCATATTTAAATTAATAATTTTTGATACAGAAATGTTCAATAATTCTTTTTTTAAACAATTTTTAGTTTTATACAATATTTTAGTATTATTGACAAGACTATGTCTTGTTTATAAAATCGTACTGCCACTCATTTTTATCAGCATAGAGGTATGAAGGAGTACATGTCGAGAGTTGATATTTGGCACAGAGTATTAGGTGCCCAAATCATTTGTGCATAAAAGAATCCAGACTTGTAGGCAGTCGGGGAACTGAGAATCGAGTCAAAATAAAATCCAAAATGGCGACCCTCTTCTATAAACAGGCAAAACAGCCACCTCACCCCACTGAAGTCGGGTAGGGGAGGTACCATCCACAGTCATTCTAAGAAGTTAACTCTGACCTTAGGACTGAACACGTAGTTTCTTCTATGTTAAATAAAATTTGTAATCTAATTTTGTAAATTTGAGTGCTTCAAATATGACATTAAAACAGTTTTATGTCGTTACAAGTGGGTTTTTTTAACATTATCTAGTATAGTAAAATCGTAGGACCGATAAAAATTTGATGTTATATTAGGGTTGTCATTACATTCAATGACATTATAATCAGGTTAAACTGTATATTGTTTGTGCAAAATAAAAAAAAAATTTTGGACGATACAATAGCCATGATTATTTTTTTCAAAAATGGGAACTTTTCGTTACGCATCAACAAAACTTCAACCCGAGCTGACAAGCAACGGAGAGAAATTTTGAAATTAGATAAGTTAATTTTATCAAAGATGCATCATGGATGATCTCATGGTTGTGGCTGGCAAAGTTTGAACGATTGCACCCAAAAGCAGTGATATCAAAGAAGATAGGAGAATGAGAACGAGACCTGCCTTGAGCATCAAAGTGATTCCGTCTCCGAGACATAGTCTTGTCCCAAATATGGTTTTGTCATTTTACTTGTTTCTATCTATTTTGCAATTAAAACTATTACAATGCTGGAACCATGGGCTCGTGTTCCTTTAACCTTTTTTTTCCAATCTTCTTCCTGTTTCTCCTATATGACATTTTGGACTAGGACACATACATGATAATTTGTAGATGACTCCTGCAGTTTCTAGTTGTTTTCCTATCAATAATATGCTTTGATCTTCTTTATTTATAATATTAATTATGTCTGTTAGCCTATTTTTTTGTTTTGCTACTATACCAGAATTTAATAAATTTTCTATTTTTCAAAAACATGATTTATATACAGAAAATTTAAATAAATTTCTCGAAGTCGGATATAAAGTGTACATTACTTGTTAACATTCTGAAATTAGTTTTAGAATTTACATATTTTAGGTTTATTTTTTATAATTTAGAATGCATTTCAGGCTATATGCCCCTCTTCAGTCCATATTTTATTATTAAGTATATCAGTAAAAAACTAAAAAATTAACTGGAAACTGGAAGTGACAGCTGGAATAACAATAATTAAAACCATGAAGTAAAAAGTAAAACTGTAGAAATGAAATTATTTTGTAAAGTTACATAAGCTTATACAATGGATGTCAAGCCGACAATTTACTGATGGTTTACACCATCAGTAAATTGTCGGCATGACATCATAGGTAGCTGACCCGGTGGAGATGGGGACTTGAAACCCACTCCACGGCACCTGTGTAAGGTTGCTATCTCCTAGGTGGGATCTATTAATTCCGCATCAGGATGAACCTAAGGGAAGGTTGTATGTGGGCTGTGACGGAAGAGGCAAATGATGACAAGTGTTTTACACAAGAAAGCCATTTATTTGTTAACATTTATGCTTACATTGACAATTGACAGTCCTTCACTAGGTTCTTCTCGTTGGAGAGGCGAGAACTTTGGCGTGTGTCTGGCCCTGGGGTGGACGAGATGAGATCACTGAGCAAGGCGGACGATTGGAAAGAGGAAGTGGCGGAGTCCAAAGTTCTTGCCGACGACACATCACAATATAAGTCACGACCTTTTGTAGAATACAGAGGAGAGCTTCCCTCCAACCTTGAATTTCGGATTTTTATAGTTTTTTTTCTCCCACTATTTGGACTTCTGATTGGCCCCTCATCTCCTTCCTCGCTTCCTGATTGGTCTCTCTTTTGTTTTGGAGAAAACTGAGACCGACTCGGGTCATGGGAAAGGTCCGATTCCAGGTGTCTGCTTGACGCCTTTCTGTCGATTGTTCTTGGGGATTGTTGACAAAATTGCAAGACTCACACTCACAATTTAGCTCCATTACTCGCAATTTCTGTCATCTAGGTACTCGAACGATCATATGCAATGATTTATCTCTCTTAAATCTTTCACTCTTTTCTGAAATTGTTTCTCTAGATTGATTATTTATGAGCACTAGGGTCAAAGTTCTACCTGTTTATGATCACTTGTGTCTGACTTATAACTTTTCATTTTGACATTGACAGTTCGTTTAACGTGTTAGAGTCATCCGGGACTCATTGTTTACATTTTGTGCCGCATTGTTTAAATTATGGGATTTTCCTCTCCCTCTCATATTTAATCTATCGTTATTTAATCATAAGAATACCACGATTTACATGTTTTTGGACCTTGGTTGGGTCCTCACAATGGGGAACCCAAACATCATAATAGGAAATGTATCCAAGGCTAGCCAAATGTCTGACAACAGATGTTTGGGATATTCTTAAGATGTCTGGGTTTGTCATATTTTTAGACAAAATGTGTTATTTTTACCCATTGCTCCACGCCTAAGTGTACAGAGACTCTTGTGCAATGACAGGAATGTGATTTTGATCTTGGAAAAGTCAGGTGTGTATTCTATCCCATTATAGAATACAGCAACAGGGGTACATGCCTGCTACATAGGTGCAACCACCAGAATGCTCTCTAATTGTATAACTGAACAACAGCATTCTGTTGTGATGGGAAGGTGTGACATGGAGTTGTCTAAGATGGTGTTACATCATCACCACACCCCATTTTGGAACTGTACGGTGTTGCTTAGGGGCACTGTGGTGAAAGTGGTCTGGTGCACATTTGGGAGGCCTTTTTTACCACATTATTGTCCCCATGCAACTCCCTCACTTTTGAATTGCCTGGAATTTGGATCAGCATTGTATAAGCTATTAAAACATTATAATTAATTGCATTTCTCCACTGTCCCCAACATCCTCCACCTTCTCCACATATTAAAGCACATGTGTGTAGATGTTATGCAATTTTCAAATTTAAGTTTTTAAACTTTCTGTTCTGAAAGTTGTTAATATTCGAAACAGTTAATGCCATTTCTGTTTCTAATTTAAATCTGTTCGATTCCTTTTCTGCCTGAAGACAACATTCGTAACTGCGTCAAAAGTGCTTGCAGGAAAATAAAATATCCCTTAATGCCTTTTTATGTGAGATTTTTCCTTGTGTCAGTGAAATTATTTGTGTTAAAACATATAAAATCATCGGTTAGTACAAGCAAAACTAAAAATAAATATATTTTTGTTAAAATGTATTTTTCCATCAAAATGAAGTGTTTATGTGATTTATTCTCAATAGCAACTTTATGCTAATTCTGAAGGACATACAATGTATTGTTGTTGTTTTTCATAATTGAGCATTTGTTTGTATTAAAATTGTTAAGCTTGTGTTTATACAAGCCAAATGCTAAGTGTCAGAAAAATTTTACAAATGATGTTTTTCATATATTGGGAGATGTTGATTGTGTGATCAAGAGTGGATCTAACTTTATAGAGGCCTTAGGCTTGAGATTTCTTTTGAGCCTTCTAAAATTTTTAAATAATAAATTTAAAAAAATGCATTTCAGGCTATATGCCCCTCTTCAGTCCATATTTTATTATTAAGTATATCAGTAAAAAACTAAAAAATTAACTGGAAACTGGAAGTGACAGCTGGAATAACAATAATTAAAACCATGTAACTTTTACTTAAGTAGGTATAAGAAAGTTATATGATAGCCAATTACCACATTAATTAATTAATTTTAACTAGAAATTCTCCCATCAAGCATGACTGAATACTTTTTACAATTACTATATCATTTTCTTTCTCATAAAAACTCCTGACTTTTTATTTTATGGATTAAGCCTTGGCAGCTCTAGTTTTTGATATTTAATTTGAGATTGTTTGAAACTTTACTATATTGTTTATTTTCACTTTTTTCTTCTGGATTAATTATGTTATGTTTTTATGTGGAGTATATAACAAAATTTGTCAGTGTATATTAACTGATTCTGAATATACTGTAACTATATGTAATTTTTTGACAATTTATTATCAGATAGTTGTCGTGCAGTTTTAGTTGTAATCCTTGTTTCTTAATTAAAGTCCATATAATATGGGTAAAAGTTTTTTCCTTCTTTTGCGGAATTTTTAATTAAGTCGGCTGTAATATTAATATCTTGCCATTTTCCTAGCATCTTGTTTTGCTTCGACTTATTAAAAGCTGCAAGGATTTTATTTCTTACTTGATCTCATTTTAATACTATGCACTTAATATGAATATTTGAATTGGATATTGAGTAGATATTTTTTATATCTTCTGAATCACTGCATACTATTTTTAAAGTATTAGAAAAAAATATTGCTAATTCCTTTTGAGATATCTTTAAACTGATTTGAATAATCATATATTATTTTCTTATTATTCATAGTGTTAATCAGAGAATCAAGTTTATATTGAGTTAATTCATTTTCTAGTCTTAATTTGGTAAATTCAGTTTCTATTTTATCATTTCTCTTATTAATTTATTGTAATTGCTCTTTAAAATCTTTATTTTCATTTTGAATTATATTAATTTCTTCTCTTATTAGTGAAAATTTACTCACCAGCTGATCATTATTATTGATTATCAATTCAACTATTTTATTCCATAATTCTGCTGTTGAAATGTCTGTTTTTTCCATAGGTAATTGTTCTTGCAAAGAGGTTAAATTAATTAGCTCACCTGTTTGGGTTAATGATTCTGTTCTTCTAGGTTCTGTATATTTGGTGATATGATTTGTTTTCAATTCCAATGATTTGATATTATTAGTAATTTTTGAATATTTAGTGGTGGTCTTCCTCTCTTTATCAGAAATTTCTGCAAAGAACTGGAATTCAGTTCTATTCCAGAGGTTAGTAAACAATAATATAATTAAGATGACCAACTATTTTACAATGAAAAGGAGGACACAAATAAATTGAAGGAAAAAATATCATAATAAAAGAAATATTTTATTCATTGCAACAATAATACACTATAATAATATCTACTGCATGTGTATGTGTCATGTAATATTTCAGTAAGCAGTAAACAAAGTCACTTCCACACGGCTCGCTCTCTGTCTCTTGTGCGGAGCACATGCGTCTCATAATCACCTCTTGCCGCACTGTACCAAGCCTTGATTAATCATCACATTAAATACAAACACATCACATATAACGGATCGGCTTGGTATCAGGTATCAGTCAAATATGGAGATTTACAGATTAGTCTTCAAATATCGAAAAGGAGGACATGTAGGAGGATACTTTTCGAGGGAGGACAGAACTTAAAAAAGGACTGTCCTCCCTAAAGAAGGACGATTGGTCACCTTAATATAATAAGCTTAATATTATTCATATTAATCCAATATAACTTTGCCTACTTACTAATAGATGAAGAATACTAACTTTGGAAGTGAAAAGAAATTGACGCCAACAGCTGTGATGATCAGAGCACCCCCTTTTTTAATAATAATTAATGGCTTTTTTTCAAAGGCATGAAGTTTTACAGTTATGAGTTAATAACAGGATAAATTATTTTTATTAGGATAAATTATTTTTATTTTAATAAAACATTTTAGTTTTATGTAGAGAAGACATGCCATAATTCTGTCTTTCTTATTTTATTTTTAATTTTACTAATTTATTGATTATAAAAAAATATATAACTGTTAATTAGAAAAATAACTGGTTAAAAAGTTGGAGAAGCAATAGTCTGTGCACATAGTAAGTCAAGTGATGTTTTATTTTGTTAATGTGCCATGCTGTAAGAGATGTGAGGGTCAGGGAATCTGTACAAAGTTGGTCAGGAAAAGTCATGGAATTTAAAACAACAATTTGAGTAGGAATCCTGCTATAGCTAATATTTGCACAAAATAAGTAGCCTATACTTTTCATCAGAACATAAAATAAATATAACTAAAATTACATATTGATTGGACAAAAATTACAGGAGTTATAAGGAATTCACACAGACACAGACGACAGTTTTTATATTATTAACAAGAAATTTTTACAATATTTAAAAACTACATACATCTTGAGTCCTTAAAAGTTGGGGCCCCTGAGCTCAATTCTTATTAATAATTAATTATTTTTTAAGTGATATGGCCAAATTTTATAACTAACAAACAAACATTTCAGAGTAGGGGGTCTAGATATTGAGCCTTGAGGACAGCCTTTATTTGGGGAGCAGGTTTTTTAACAAAGCCCAATTTAAGCTTAATTTAAGAAATCGTTATTTGTAAGTAGAAAATATTCTGTGGTACTTTGGTATCTCTGATATGTTTTAAAATTGAGAGCCACCATGCATTGTCAAATGTGCCGTTGATATCTAGAAATATTAAGAGATAACACTCTTGTTTCCTTGCTGTAGAGTATCACAATTTAATAAGGACATTCTCTGTGAAAAGCTAGGACATAAAACCATATTGATCATTGCTCAAATGGAAAGTTCCATTAGGCGAAACTTTCTTTAAATAAACAAAAATGTATCATGAATTGTCATTTTCCATACTACTACTATTTGATGGAACATATTATGTATGTAACCTGGGATACACCTGTACATTGTATGAGTAGAATGAATTTAGGTAGTTATAGGCCTATTACATGATATTAAAGGAACATAACATAGAGATTGTCAGTTTCCAGTTTAGAATGAATTAATTGAAAAAAGTAATAAAATTTAATTGTTTAATTGGAATAAACCAATCATGGGTTGAGCATTTTTAAATATTGCTGTTTATTTTTTCCCTTTTTTTACAATATATTCTGAAGAATATTTTAAAAATTAAACTTAAAGTATTGTGTTTGAAATGCCAAAACTAATAATAATTTTTCTACCAACTACAATTAGTATGAAGATAGTTTAATTTTATGTCTGAGGTTTTTCAGTGAAATAAATAGCAAAAAATATGCAAACCCATAATTTCTTCTAATGAATTAGATTTAATTACCAGCTTAATTAATAGCGAGGTTGCGGCCAAAGTTTTCATCTCTAAAACACGAATGTCGAACGTCACTTACAAGATAGAGGTGGTTGACGTTCGACGTTTTAGAGATGAAAACTTCGGCCACAATCTCACTATTGATATACTGTTGATAACATTTCTTATTTTGTCAGTTATTGCAATCTCTATTTTAATAACTTTGAACTTTGTAATCATTTAATGTCATTTAAGTAATTATTGTGCTATATAATTAATTAAATGATAATACTAAATATATTTGGATTTAACTATAAATCTTGTTTTTGTGTTGATGTTTACATGTATAATCTAAGTATATTTTTCTAGATTAATTCCAAAAGTATTATTAGATATCATCTTTCTATAAAAATCAGGATAATTAAATAAAATAATTTCATTTTATTTTTGATATAGGTACCAACTATAAAGATGCATCTTTATACAATTATCCAGTTGATATCTCTAGCTGTTCTTTGGACAGTCAAGTCAACTGCAGCTGCTCTAGCATTTCCATTTGTATTGTTAATGATGGTGCCTATCAGATCACAGTTAAAATGTTGCTTTACTGTGAAAGAATTGCATGCTGTGAGTGTTTATCTTAAACATATAATCATCTTATATATATTTATATTTCATCAATTATTTATTGATTTTCATCAATTTATTTAGCTTGATGGTGAAGAAATTGATGATGATCAACATGAAGAACCAGATTTCTATGAACAGATTTTGCCCTAATGTAGAAACATACAGAAACAAATGCAAATTACATTTTAAAAAAATCCTCTATTTGTGGACCAACAAATATGTAATTATCATGAACCATCTAAATGTGATACTTATTGAAGATTATTTTTGTTAGGAAAGAAAGGAGAACAAGGGGGGAAATCTTTATATTTTTATAATTTATATGTCAGATGTACTATTTTCTCAGATAATGTTTATAAAACTGGTAAATTTGTTTAAGAATATTATCAGTTTTTTTTTTTGTTGTGGTAAAACCAATTAAGAATCTTAATTTCGTAGAATCTTCTACAAAAGCATTTATTATGGTTGTACATAATATTGTTAATCTCGGCATTTTGAACTGATTTGTAGATATCTAAATTTATTAAATGGTACAGTAACTAATTGTTTGTAATGTTCAGATACCAGAAATTCAAATGAAAAATTTTATTTGTATTTTGGAACTTTATTAATCATTTTAGGATGCTCTTAGTTGTATGCTGTAAATATTTTAGGAATTATTATTTTTGAAAAGGTTTTGTATTCATCAGGATTTGAATTTTTGAAATGTTTATGTATTAACATCAGGTTGTGTGTTTCTTCAGTAAATGATTGTAAGATTTTTTTTTAATTGTTGTTGTAAAAATAAATTTTCATAAAAGTAACAACTTTTCTGGAATAATTTTTGAAATAATAGTTTTAACTTGAATATTATTATGATTTTAAGAATATATAAATCCCATAATTTCAATTATCTAACTTGCCATCTCCTGATGAATGTATCACTTGTCTGCCACATCTAACAAATTTCATGTGACCTTTCCACAATTTATTTGAGTTATTCTTCCATTAACTTAATGAAAAAATCTAAGTCACACTGAATGAATTAATAAAAAATTTTGCAAAGCCCAAATAATTGTAACGAAACTTGAATATGGGAAGCGTAAGCTACAAAAAAGTTTTGATATTAATGGTAACTTTAATAGCTCTGATAAAATGTCTTTCCTAAAATTTTTAAAATGAAAGTTAGATATAATGAAGTATAAAATTGATAATCCTTTTGATGGATTATTTTTTGTAACGGTAATTACTGACAGTGATTTGTTTATTCTATACACTGCACTAACCATTTGAATTTAAATTACAAAATAAAAAATAAATTGACTGTTTTAATTATTGAGACGTTTCTATCTTGAACATTTCGTCTAACTAACTGATTTTAATTTTAAAATATATATTTATCTTTCTTTTATAACATCCCACCAGACGAAACCACTGAACACACAGTCGTGGGTTCCCTCCCACCTGAGTAACTTGCTGGCCACGTGAAGTTTTCCGGATTTTCTTCATGTCTAACTCCTAAATAGCACAGCTCCCATAGAAAGTTCTTTCAGGAAGCACACCATTAACAGATTGTAGTGTCTTGTTTCCTAATTTTATTCTTGTTTTCTAATACTTAGACCAATAACTTCTGGAAAAACACTAGTTAGAAGCAAAATTTTATGAAAATGTAGAATATAAATTTTTACATAGGCCTACAATTTAAAATAAATGGGGGAAATTTTTGCATGTGTGTTTCTGTCGGGAACACTGAACGTATAAAATTCATGTGACGTAAATCTTATAATGTAAACATAATAAATTTAAATGACTAATTATCATTGAAGCAAATCGGGCAGTTCCCTCCAGTTGACTGATCGGAATGAACGTTTTAGTATAAAAAGTTTATTTTTCGCTTTTTGATTGCCTAAAATGTTTTATGGCATCGCAGATATCTATGAACTGTGAGAATTTGTTTTAAATAGAAAGATCAGCGAATGATGACAATCTGTAGTCTGCCAAGATCGACCATAGATTTTGATAAGATTCCATTTCAGTGTAATAAAATACAAAAATATACACTTTTAAATGTAATTTTCTGTTTTTACAATTTTAATAAATAAGAAATAAGCTAATGTTTGAAATTTGCATCTTCATGATAAATGTTATTTTCTAAAAAATTTGACGAATGAACCAAATCTCTCACGATCCCATTCGTGATGATGGTGTTCCTCGGAAAATCCTCGACATCTCCATCGTGCGCGCCATTTTGGTGGTGAGGTGGGATTTTGCCAGAAATTCCAGACAGTCTGCCCCATCAAACATTATTGACCAAGACTGTAGCTGAATTTGAATATTCGTCGAGGTGTTTTATGGAGACACTGTTTCACCATCCGCTTTACGACCCCAGTTTTATATAAATTTTCAATGTTTGGTGGATTATGGTATTTCAATTTGGAAAATAGATACTTCACTTAGACAAAGTTGAAGATGCATTAAATAGTGTTCTTTGTTTTGTAAATTTCCATTTCTGTCAATTATTGAGCATTTCTTTTATTCCAGAATTGTTCAACCCCAATAGATGAACTGTTGTCATGTAACACAAAAGATTTTAAATTATATAACACACTGTCTAGATCAAATAGGACATATACATACAGGCTTATCACACCAGTACACGAGGTTAATTCACAAAATCTTCAATGATTATTTAACACCTTATTAATAAAACTCTACAATAAATTACAACTCTTTTTAACATATATATAATATACAACACTCAAAATTTTAAAGCTTGTGAAATAGTGAAAGATTCAATAAAGGCTATAAAGTATGAAACTTAATACTAAAAAAAAAACGGAAATACTATGAACATGTAGAAATTTTAAACATTAAATCAGAAAAAAGAATTAATGACAATTTAGGAATAAAATTAATGCAGGGTGGCATGATTTCATTGATAAAAACAAAAATAAATTAATAATTAATGACTTAATAATAGGTGACACTTGAGGTGAATAAATATACAAATTAGCTGAAGCGCTCGAGCTGTGGTAGCGTGTAGTACTTGTACAGTGTTTCAGTTGTGTGGTAAGATGTTTCTGCTAGTTCAACTGATGTGTTTATTGTGAGTATAGATCCACCACTTTATATTTATATTTTAATTATTAATTATAAAAATAGCAATTTTTGATAAATTGTATTAGTGTTCCCAAGGCTAAGAAATGATGACTGTGACACTATTACACTAGTGAGAATACCTGTGATGATTGTGAATTTGTCATATTTACAACGCTGTTTTAATATGTTTTTATAATCTTTATCATTTATATTTATGTATGAACACCAACTGAAGAAGGACGAATTGAGTCCGAAATGCATTTTGAGTGTTCTATATTTTATATACATTTTAAAAAGAGCCGTAATTTATTATAGAGTTTTATTAATAAGGTGCTAAGGGCTAAAAGCAATAGATTATTCCATCTTAAATTATACAAGGTATTATGAAAAATACTAAATGATTTTATCTGATTATTTATTTTTATCAAATTCCTTTCTCTTATCATGACAATTTTGTTGTAACTGCTATATCACACTTTTCAGTACCGTTAATTTTTACTTTTCCAGTTGGTGTGGGTGGCGCGATTATGTTCGCCCTCTGAAGCTTAATAACTCCTGTGCTTTTTGTGGAAATTTTCTGAAAGTTTGCAGAACGGTTTGTTTATTAGGGAAATTGATGCTATTAAATTTTGATGATTAAAGGTCAAGAGGTTGGGGAGATAAAGGGGGTCGTGTAATATATCAAATAGAATTGGACTTAATGATAATTTTACTCATTAATATTTAGAATTTTTTTAATATAAAACCCCTACCTTCAAAATTAAGCTTTTTGTCCATTTTATAATACTGTAGTTAAAAACTCAAAAAGTTTTTAAAATATCATAATAGATGGGTGGGTGCCACTAAATGTTGCCTGGAAAGTTAATTAAGCAACTCGTTGCTGAATTTTTTATTGTTGTAATCCGCTGAAACATGCAGTTATGAACTGTACCATTATGTTTCAATGTTTTGTTTTGTATTCTATGGAATAAAGGGGCTGCCCAAAGGGTAATGGGGACCTAGGCCCTATAGAAAATAAGACTATTATTAAATAAAAGAAGTAAACAAATCAACATTATATAGGGGCCCGAGTTTGTTAAATATCATTTTGGAGGAACCTTTCGTAGCAAATATCATTACCTTTTGTTTTGGTCAGTATACAAAGAACCTAATGATGTACAGTACATGATTATCTTTCATTCTGATTCATGTAAGGTAATTGTTTCATATTTCTAATATAAATTTTATTTTGTGTTTTTAATTAGAATCGTTTGAAATTAGATCTGACAAAATTAGTAAACAACAATTATTTGCTCATTAACTTTAATTATCATTTAGTACCAAAAAAAAAAGACATTATCATCATCCACTTGTTACTCAGGAATTTGATTTATTTATCTAGAAAAGTAAATAAAATAAAAATTAACGTTAAAAAATAATAATATATATGTATATATGATATTTTTGATATTCTACTTATCAAAAAAATTAGCGATGCTATCTTAAAATACATTGTACAATTATTAAATAAAATTTTGTTAAGTAAATGGCGAAAACGTTCTCCTGAAAGTAAAAGGTTATTCTTTCTAAATAATTTCGCTTGGGATCAGTGGCAGATTTAAGGCATTATTGGGCTTATTCATTAATGGAGCTCTTTTTTTAAAAAATCTTATATTAAAAATAATTGTTGGCGATAAGTTTACTGCTGTTGAGTTTTAGACATTGATTTTTCAATATGAGACAGTCTAAACATTCATAGCTCCAGTGAATGAATTCAAAAAGTGGTTAATTCATGACTATGATATGTTTGTTCGGCATACGTTGCATCATTTCCACACCTCATTTAATGTTAAATACGATGGAATTAAAGCATTTACAAGGCAAACCGATTCGAGAAGCGAGAAAAAAGAAGCGCATATCCTTATTTACATTCCCCTTCGCTCCCGATTATCGCGTCGACCAACGAAGCAATTTGCAAAGATGGCGACCCTAAGTGACACGATGGGATAGTTTTTTTTAAGTAAAAAAAATTATCTGTATTTTCTTTCAGGATAGAGTTGCAATGTTAACTTTATCAGAAATAAGGTTACACAATAAAAGCACTCCTATCCACATACAAAGGGAGAATTTTCGGGTTTCTTTCGAAAGATTGATTCTGGATTTCCCAGTAGTTTTCCATTCTTAAGCTTGATGTTTATTAATTAATGAATGTATCGTATTCATAATGTAAATTGCTGATTTTTCTAAACTAAAATAAATTGTAGAAACTATTCAAAAGAATCGGAATCGAGAGAAATTTGATATCGTCACTACTTCTTTCTTCAGTACTCCAAGGTTTATACTTGCTGTAGGAATGAAATCTCAAAATTTTTCAGGAACTGGTCAAAGTTAAGCTATTGGTAAACCAACTAATAAAAAATATTCTTTTCAAGTAAATTTAATTATTTGCATTCAAAGCTAAAGTCAACTTTTTAAGTATCCCTTTGGTTTCATAAACATCTAAACTTTCGCCTATCAAATATGAATCGTTACTTATTTTTAATACCTCTTTTTATGATTAATTAATTGTAATTTGCGTTAAAAATAATAAAATAATCTCTCAAGATTTTTATAAACTATTTCCTATTTAAGTTTTTTTTCAAGAAATGTTTTTTTTTAACTCTTTCCGCCCTGTGGGCACTAAGAGGGCCTCTTTTTGCAAGCCCATTATGGGTTCGGCCAGGCCCACAATGGGGCTGCCGGGTGGTGAGGGACGGGACCCGACATATCCGAACGGACCACCCCCGAGAAATTCCTGGGGATTTTTCGACCCGTTCGGATTCGAGCCCGGGTCCCCCAGAGCGGTGGGCTGCCACCTTGACCGCTCGGCCACCCGGCCGCTATCAAGAAATGTTGTAATTGCTACTTTTTCAAGCTTCATAGTGTTTAAATTTAATAACAATAATTCTGTTCAAAGAATATTTGAGATTCTTACGTCATCGCCCTAGTCGTCGTCACTGTCACTGTCACTGTCAATGTCATCGTCACCGCCATCGTGATTTGCGGGATCGCTCTGTGATTAAAATATAAAATTTATAATACTATAATTTAAATGTCTCAATTATGAATTTCATTTCATTCGTTATTTCTGATTTATAAAAGATTTTTTATATTAATCTGTATTCTAACTTTCAGTTAAGTGATATTGTAATTAATTCAATTTTAACTAATTAATTAATTATTTTAATTGAAAGCAACTGAAAATGAAAAGTCTTATTGGTGAGCTATAATGTTCTTTTCTAATTAGCCAGGATGACATTAATGTTTAAAAATTAAAAGCAACTAAAACGTCTTCACGCCCTTTCAACCACTTCAGGAATAAATTGTCTTTTTTCCGGTGAAGTCGATTTTTTTAAAGACATTTTAATTTTTTTCTATTGAATTTCTTTTAACGCTTGAAAGTCCCAAGACATTATTGTTATGTTAATTTTATTACTGTTTAAACACTGGCTGCAGATCAGTGTTGTAAACATTAAATTTTTAGCCACCGATGTCAATATTCTTTATACAAATATTGTTAACTTTTCAGTCCAATAAATTTCATTTTGTTATACAGGTACTTGTATTAATTTCATTCCTCTTTTTCTTGGTCTTCTGATCTGACTCTCATATTACAACTCTAAGTTGGGAGTCTTCGCTCCGCTAAATGGCACCCGACTATACAATTCCGATGCAACTAATACCGTCTAATGGGTGAAAATCGGATGTACTGGTGGGCAGAACAGGCATCACTTTCTTGGCGCGCTATTTGTCACTGTTTTCACATTTTTGCTATAAAAGCGCAGTGCGCTTTCCGTTCTCATATCCACCTGTCTATAGTACTGTACTGTGTACAGTACATGGTTAGTGCTTCTTTTCGGCTGTTTGCTTTATTGTTGTTCATCGCATTGTGCACAAGAGCACACAATAATTAAGTGGCTACAATAATTGGTACAGTTACTATATAAGTAATTTATTTAATATTTATACTTAAAAAAGAATAGAAAATAAAATATTTAAGAATACAAAAAATGAAATTTTCATACTCTTTTTTTACGACCGTGAACCTGTAATGAAGTTCTCATTAATAACAAATTCTTAATAATTAGTAACTTTATTGTGATTGAATTAAAAGAATATTCTTACTTCTTTTGATTCTGAAACTGATGATGATTCACTCTGTAATTAGAATAAATAAAACATTTCAATTATTAATACAAAATAATCAGAAAAAAATTCTTTAGTCATTTCTTATTTATAATTATTTTAAACTTGTTTAAATATCAACCTAGACAGAGAGAGAGAGAAATTATTTGTCTACATCATTGGTATCAAACTCATATAAGATTATTAGCCGGATGGCCTGCGCTCTGGGAAACCCGGGACAGTTGGGTCGAAAAGTCCCCAGGAAATTTTTTGGGGGTAGTCCAACCGGATATGTCGCCATTGTCCCTCATCACCTGGCAGCCCATTGTGAGCTTGGCCGAATCCATAGTGGGCTTGTTAAAAGAATCCTTCTTAGTGACCACAGGACAGAAAAAGTTTTTAAAAAAGTCGGGCCACCAAATACAGTTTTAAGGTCTGCGGGTCGCAGACAAAAAACAGAAAGGTCTTTTCTGTATATCTTTGAGACAAGAACTCGCCGAAAGTAAAAATTTATATGGAACAACAACATTTTTAGCCATCGACTTCAAATTTAATTTTCAATACATTAGACTTATTTATTTATTAAAATTTCATTTTATTATTTTAATAATTTCATCTGTAAGGTTGGGGCTACGGCCGTATTGTAGAGTTTCCAGTGTCACATTGCGGGCAGCGGATCGCATGGAAAAAGAAATTCGGCTATTTTAAACAAACTTAAAATATTTTTTTTTATAAATTAGTTTATTAATTTATTAAAATTTTTATTGGAATAATTCGTAAATTCCGCTTTTAAATTTTAATATTGTAAAATGTAAGTTGAAGTGTAATTATAAGAAAATATTTTATAAATCTAAATAAACTTGCTAAATATTATCTGAAACGAAATTTCCGTTAAAAAATCTTAATGAAAATAAACGTGTCGGCAATATTTAAATAAAGTAACAGGTAGATTCGGTTTGTTAGAATAAAATATTGTACACTTTTACGTCAATGTGACGTCGTTTTTAGTTTTTTTTACAATGAGAAAATGACAAAATGACGTCAGGTTGACGTAAAAGTGTACAATATTTTGATTTAAAAATGCATCTAAGGTTTATATAAGTTATTTGCATATATAAAATGCATCAAAATTGTTTATTTTCCAATTACATGATTTTGTTTGAAATTTATTACATAAAATTTTACAAAATTTCGAATATCAATCAAAAATTTAGTAAAGAAAGATGCCTATATTTACTACATTTTCAATCTGATGTAATCGGGAATTGTACATTAAATGTGTTATAACTTCTCATAAAGATTGGTTTCAATGCTTTAAATTAATGTTATTCAAATGTTTTAAAATTTCAAAACTCACGCTAAGAATAATACCAGCGAAATATAAATTAGGTGTATGTGACATTTGATTGATGACAAACACCGAACTCCTTGTATTTATATATATATGAAAACAATGCAACAATAACAATTGAGGAATAGTTAAAGATTCCGTAAAAATAATTAAAAAACCAAAAAAGTAATTTTTAAAAAAGGTTCTATGAACACAGAAATTATAAAGTTAAAAAAAAGAAAACAGAAAAAATTAATAACAACAATGGTTTGCAAATACATAGTTCCTAGTACCGAATTTTAAACAACAGAGGGGAAACACAATTAGAAATTAGAAAAAAAAAGGTGAAAGGGAGTGGTGCTGTAAAAAGTGCTTTGGAACTGAAGGTGGTTAAATTTATGAAAAAATAATTTACCGAGTCACTCGATGCTTCATTGTTATAAGCCATTACAGCGTCGACAACTGAAATATATATATTTTTAAGAATTTAGTTTTAATATCTAATAGCATAAAATTCAAATAGTCTAGATCAGCGTTTCTCAAAGTGGGCAATAATGCCCCCTTGTGGGCGCTGGAGGCTTTCAGGGGGGCAGTAGAAGGCTCAAAGAGAATTGGGGGGCGTTAAGGAAATATAGAGGGGCGACGGCAGACAAATTCTATATATAAAAATTTGACGGAATATATATAAAATGTTGACATTTTATATATTTTTTATTTTTTATTGAAGGTCACAACTTGAATATTTCTAACACATTGACTTTTATTTTAGCTCAGCGTTTCTCAAAGTAAGTAATAACGCCCCCTTCTGGCGCGATGAATAGATCTATGATAGAGTCAGGGTATTGAACGGTGACCGAAGGCAAAATTGGGGCTGATAAGAGGAAACATTGCGTTTAATGGTTTCCAGATGATGAGAACAATGTACAGTAAGGGCACAAAGTGTGAGATTCATAAAAAAGTTTTCCTAAGAATATTTCCAATCCTTTTCTCACACAAGAGAAAATGGGTTAGGGGGCGTTGGGTATAACTTTATGGAACAAAGGGGGCGGTGGATCGAAAAAGTTTGAGAATCACTGGTCTAGATTGTTTACGAAACTGTACAATAAATAATATATTAAAAGTAAGATATGAATTTGTTCATATAAAATACTTACCCAGTAGAACTACCAAGAGAGCAAAGCACAAACGAATTGCAAATTTCTTCATGATGAATATTGAAGAAGTTTGTACTTCGAAATAGAATTTATAGTGCTCCTGATGATGATGATAATCCACGTTCCTCGCTTTATTGCTGCTATTATTTGACCAATTAATGATTTTATTTGTACAGATGACGGAAATGAAAAGAGACAAGTGAACAAATTTGTTTAGTCATGTATAATTTTTTTAAAATTAAAATTAATATCAGAAAAGCATGTTCGACTATTTCCCAGATATATTTCATAATTATTTTTTGCGTAGTTATCATATTATTAAAATATATTGTTTATAATGAGAAATTAGCACTGAGTAGTTTTATATATTGTTGTTATTTAATAATCGATAAAAAAAAATACAGCAACGAGTTACTTAACTTTCCTGGCATCATTTGGTAGCGCCATTTGTTACGATATTTTATTAATTAAAAATATAAAATGTTTTTTTTTATTATAAAATGGCAAAAAGTTTAATTTTGAGGACAAGAATGAGTTTTATAAAAAGTTTGTAAATACTAATAAGGAGTAAAATCGTCATTAAGTCTGATATTCCTGGAGATGCATACGACCCCCTTTATCTCCCATCCCTCAACCTTTAATCACCAAAATTTAATAACATCAGTCCCTCTAATAAACAAACCTCCCTTGCAAAATTTCAGTTATTTTCGACCAAAAGCACAGGAGTTTTTAAAAGTTAGATTTTCAAATTTAAACTTTTTTGAATTACCTTATAAGGAATACATATTGTAATTGTTTACTGTTAATTAAAGATGCCGTGTCCAATTAAATATTATATTTATTATTATTAATTTTCATAAAATTTTTTAGTTAATAATTTTTAAGGCGGAGCGTTAGCGAAGCCAGTCTTATTTGGTTTATAGAATTGTGTTCTTTATTAAAATATGATCGATAGATTTTGATAAAACTTTGCCATTTTCCATTAATTGCTACGAGGAATTAAAAAATGTAATGATTCCATTTAAATGTAAAAAAATAGCGGTCCACGACTTTGTTTTCGATACACAGAGAGGTTAAAGTGACTATGCCAGTGTTTTCTCAATGTCATTGAGCTCGCTTAACTGAATTTAGGCGCAGGGGTCAAAAATAAAAACAGCATTGCATGCGCTTAACGGAAAATAGGCGCAAAAAACGAACTAAACACAAGAACAAAGCAGTCGATGGAGATTTGCCTTGTTATAAGATATATAGATCGCCTCTTCTGTACCTAACGAGTGCAAGGATTTTTTTATTTCCAGCTCCGCCTAAATTCTATCGCAATACGTACATAGCCGCGCAATGCGCTTAACGGAATTACGGAAATACGATGGAATTAAAGCCTATATGAAATTATTAGGATATTAGTCGATTCGTTCGACTACATTTTATATATCCATCATAATTTTTGTTAGAAGCCTTAGTTTTTAATTTTATTTTAGTTTTTGCAATTTACAAAATAATTCAGAATATATTCGCCATTCTCATACTTTTTCTATTAATAAAAATCTGTATTTGTTGTAAATATTGATAACACAGCTTGAGAAAAGTATACATACCGGTTAAATAAGCAATTAAAGCTTCAAATAGTGATTTTAAATTACTTCCTGTCAGGATATAATTTCAGATTTAATAGTTTAATACAGTATTAGAAAATTAGTCTCTAAATGCATTCATTTTTATTTAAAAAATTGTAATTAAAGGCAGCCATCCTCATGAAATTATCATCTTTTTATTGAACCGTGGCATACGCTAGTTTCAGTACTGTCCATACTAAATACTCTCTCCCAGCTGTGTATTTTTTTGTACAACATTTTAAGCAAAAGCACCATCAGCTAGCGCTGTGATTGGTAAAAACTTGAGTGATGGACTGCGGAGGATGGACCTTTCCTTACATTAATACAAGTTATACTTTTATTTCACTTGAGAAAAATAATTTAATAACCAAAGTACAACGTCTCTGTCTAGTGTATTAAATTAAAAAAAAAAACAGGCTTATAATTCTCGGCTGTAAGCTTCTTATAATTCAGGCTGTAAGCTGCCATGGCATGGCCCATATCAAGAAGGCTCACGGCAAATGCAATCAGGTTACTTGAAATTATCAGAACTAAAGAAACGAAATGAGAGAAACGATTCTAATTAGTTCTGACATGTTGCACTCTGCTGTTGCTAACGTTACAACTCGATTGCGAGATGTGAGAATGGCAGAAAGTTTGTCAAACAGTTCTTTTCAAGCTGGTGTGACAGTGATGCTGTTGGATTCTAGTGGCAAAAATTGTAACTACTTTTGAAACTGTCCCTAGTTTTCCCGTGTCCAGATAAAAATAGATAAATATGCCTGCAAAATTTTAACTCTACGTTTCTCTGGATTGCGTGCATTCGAAAATCTACGACGGCACAATGTAGAGTGGGAATTACCGTTCCTAGTTAATACTTTTTCTACGTTTATGATCTACGTTTCTCCTGAATCGTACTTCGACTCCTGTTAATATCTATCTATCTTGACATTTGTAGTAAAAATAATAATAGAATTACTGTATATGATGAAATATTTTAGTATTTCTCGTTTGTTTTTAGTACTAAAAACAAAACTATTGTTTAGGCGCAGTCCCACACTGATAATTATTGATTCTGGTATCGCGCCTGACGAATATGCTGGACACATGGAGTTTTGAAGGTTTTCTTCGTGTTTAACACCTAAATACGGCCAATTTTCCGTAGAAAAATCCTTGTCAGATTGTTTAATGGAATAAGGCAGTTCAAACTAACCTCAAATCCGAATGGATAATTTGAAGTCCTCATTGATGTAGATCAGTGTTTCTCAACGGGGCGATATCGCCCCCATGTGGGCGTTTTCCATGTTGAGGGGGCGATTTGTAACAATTTATATTTTGGGGGGCGAAAAACAATTTTCTGGGCGATATAGTAAAACATTATATTAAGATTAATTAGATATTTTATTCGTTATATCGTACAATAATTAAACAAATAACATTATACTAGTTACTAGTCTATTCAATGCAGTACGAATTTGGCGTTAGCCCTGGCCCTCGGTATCGGAATTTTGAAGTGAAAGGGGCGATACTACGTAACGGTTTTATTGAAGGGGAGATGATTCGTTAGAGGTTGAGAAACACTGATGTAGATTGTCATTATTATAGTATAGTCAAACCTCGATTTTCGAACTTAATCCATATATTGTTTATGGGAAAATTTGTTTCGGTTTGAGAACAGTTTTTAGGAACGAATTAACTACCTAGTATTAATAAAGTTTTGTTATTTAATTTGAGTTAAGCATCTTTAACCGGACCATTCCCTGCTTGTACTGTAAAAATATACATTTTTTTTTCTGGAATGTGTTACGTACTGCATTTAGGCCCAAATCAGTTTAACGTAATAACACGATTGCTCCTTTCATAGCGCCCTTGTTTTAAAATTATTGTTTGGATATATTTAAATATGAGCCTATTGAATACAATCATGGAATCAATTTTGCTTATAAAGTATTTATTTCATTAAGTTTACAATTATTGAAATAGAGGAATTTAGGTAAATTAAAAATAGATATAACACTAATAAATTAAATTTCAGAACAAGTTTATTCAAAAATTTATATACAACTATTTATAAAATACTTTTACAAGATAAAATGATTTTAAGATCGTCAATCACCTTTTTTCCCATAGTAAAAAAAAATTACATTGTCTTCTAAATACATAGAGATTCTAGATAGCTTGTTCTATTATTGCAAATATGAAATAATTTTTTTTTATGAAATTAAATGTGTAAAGCTCAATAAAATAATAAAAAATACCACATTACGTACGAACAAAACTTCTTTTATTGTTTTTTTAATCTTTTGTAGAATCACAGGCACGTAACAAATCCTTTGTATGGACGTTGGGTAGAAACGGAAGAATTTCTGTGAAGTTGTCCAGCGGTGACATAAGTTAGAATAATACAAATTTTGAATTAGAAGAAAAATCGAAACGATACAGTGTTTCATTTGATATATATATATATATTTCCTCCCGTTTATGAATGTCAAATGCCATAAAAATGAAATGTCAATTGTCTATTCCAACTAAAATATTTTGCTGCATGGATATTTCATTAACACCAGATTACCCAAATTTTTTGCTGGTTCACAAACGTTGGGGCATTGACCTTTTCGGCAGAGAGTTTCCTTCCATTTCATTCATTTTTACATCTGTATAAAAAAATTAGCATTTTAAAAAAATTATACTATTTAAATTTACTAAAATTAACTGTCTATTAATATAAATTNGATAAGGCTATGTTAATATCTTTAGTTCTGTCACTGATATCACACTTATGCTCCAAGTTGTACTGTTTTATTGCACTGCTCAGTAATATGGAAATTTGCATTATAATATAGTTTTTTTTATGGTTGTTTGTTTGGATGTTTTAATTTTTTGTCATTTCATTTCCATTTTTAACAAAAAAAGTTTGAGTTAATTTGTCTGATTAATAGGTATAATAAATATACATAGACCTTGTTTATGTAAGGTCAAAAAAGTTTTGTACTCTTTGTTGTTCATGAGAAAATGTACACTAAACTTTCAGTTAGGTGAATATTTAATTTCTTGTCTAGGAGTTGTATATTTATAGATAAAAAATTATCAAAAATTACAGAATATTTTTGATGATCAATTGGATGGTAGAGAAATACAAAACAGTAAGCAAAATTACTTTCATGTATATCTGAAAGTTTAGAGGATGATGCTAACGTCACTAATAAGAAGCAAGGCCAGGATTAGAATCTATGTATCTTACACAGTGTTCTACACCAACAGTGATTATGAGTCCAAGTGATACAGAAATCAACTATGAGTTTGATGATCAATACACTGAACAGGATAAAATTGTTTGGGATGTTATTGACAGTAATCATCATTCTGGATGCTTTTCCAAACAAAAATCAGTTTGAAGCACATGGCATTTAATGGGAGACAATTTCATTCTCCAACACAAAATAAGATGTATTTGCAATGCAGGGCTGTGGAGTTGGGAGTCGACACATTTTTTCCGACTCTAAATTAAATTTAAAATGTCAGTTCTTTTATTTAAATGAAGAAAATTTTATATTTAATAATTTTTTACAATGTTTTTGTATTTTGTCATAATTCAATTATTTTAAATACAAAATGCAACAATTTAATTTATTAAATATGTATCGTGAATGGCTATGTTTAAATAGTTTTCTTTGTAGTATTTGTGTTCAGTAGTTAAATTATTTTGACCCAATTGAATTTGAATATTTTTGATTCATTCCTTTGTTATCCCTGCTAAATAAGTACTCTATTTTTCTGAATGAGCCAGACTAATTGATCAGAGTAGATATTTTTCTTTTCTGAACAAGGGACTGAATTAGCTAGATCACACACTTTTTACTAACTTTTGCACTTATTGCAATTTCACCTTTGTAGAATAAAGATATGTAAATGTTGAATGACAATCGTTTTTGCAAAATAATGAGGTTTCTTCATTTTGAATTGTTGTGAGTGGGTGCCTTTTATGTCAATGATAAATTTGCCTTGATTTCATCAGTATGGAACAGATTCGTTGAGAACTGTCAAACTTGCAATAAGCCAGGGCCAAATATAACAACTGATTAACTCTTTCCTAGTAAAACTAAATGTGCATTTATGCAATTTATGCTCTCCAAGCCAGATAAATATGGCCAAAAAATACTGCTTAAATGGATTTCCAATATCCACACAGTATGATACATTTTGTATCACAATTGGGAAAGAATGAGTTTGATAAAAATATTACCATGGACAATTACTTTAACTCCATAAATTGAAAGAAAAAAAAGTCTTGTTGGAACAATGAATAAAGAATGCAGAGATGCCTTTCACTGTAAAGCATGGAAAGAACCTCTATTCAGTATGAAAATATTGAAAAATGATGACTTGACAATGACTATTTATCAGAAAAAAAAGGAAAAAAATGTCATTGTTTTGAGTTCTCTTGATGTATTATTTCTATTATGTCTAGTAAAAATATAATACAGTTTTGGATGTTTAACACAAAATATGGTGTTGGTATTGTGGATAAAATGGCCATACAATATTCTGTCAAGGCATCACCTAGAAACTGGCATGTGCATTCTTTTTATAATACACATGCATTTATTGTGGCAAAATCTAATGTGTTTGAGAAATTTTTTGTATATTTGCACTGAAGTTCACAGACATAAATGTCAAGTATAAAAAAATTGTACAAATAAATCAACACGCAGATGCTCAGTGTGAAAAAAGTTTGTCTGCAATTTGTGTGCAGGAAAAACTTGTTATTACTATGTAATTTGTATTTAAATGCAATGAAAAATTCATTTATTTATGTTTATACCTACATTATTTCAATAGAAGATGCTCAAAAATTCAAATTATAACAAAAATAGTCTGAAAACTGAACCGAGTGTGACAAATTGTCCTGTTTGGGCATTTAGATAGAGTAAGTCCAAGTGTTCTAATATTAAACTTTCTGCTGTAATCTATATATATAAAAATGAATGTGTGTGTGTGTGTGTGTGTGTGTGTGTGTNACAAAAGATAAATGGAGTTGTCATAATCTGAAATATAAGATCAGAAGAAAAACAAAAAAACTTACTCCTATAGATTTAGCATTTTTATTAGTGAAATGTTTTTCAGAAGTTTGCTGCCCCATCCTATCTTCAGACCACAAAAATATGAATTTTTATGGTTTGAAGATGGGAAGGAGAAGTCCTAAAAAACATTTTACTACAGTATTAACAAACTTGACTCCTATAATTTTAGTATTTTTTCCCCCCTCCTGACATTATAATAGTTTTTTTATATATACACATTTTCTACCTTTAAATGACAATCAATCTATTATTGATAAGAATTATGAATATTAATGTCTTATTTCAGATTTAATTTCAATATAATAAAAAAATTTTCTCAAATGTTGTCAAATACTTTGTAAGGAGTCAAAGTCCGATCGTTATTTTGTTTTCGGCATTATTTTTAGTTATAGTTATTTTCTTTTCGGGATCTTTTTTTTTGAGGATGGAAACACCTAATAAACCCTCAATGTGCTAAAAAGAAAAAAGGCAAAAAATACTAATTTGAATTGGTGACTGATCCTGTGATACCGCACACATGTAAATTGGGCAGTGTGGACTACACTGAGAACCAGATAAAAGACAAGATGTCTGTCCAGCAGTGTGGTGTAGCTTCCAACAGTGAGCACTGTAGAAGTGACTTGTCAGGCATTCTTAATAAGTGATCAGTGTAAGCAACATATACTTTGAGTATTTTTTGGTGGAGATTTGATTGAATTTGATTTGATGTATATGAAAAAAGAATTTCTTTGATTAATTGTTCATTTTTGTTATTTGAAATATATACTCTTACTAACTCTTATTATAAATACAGTAGACCCTCCTATTACGTGGGTTCATATGATGCAGATTCGTATATCGCGGCGAAAAAATTGCGACCGTATTCATATAAAGACGCTAAAAGAGACTCGTAAAAAGCGGTAAAATATCATCGCCGACTCGTGTCACGACAGGATTGGTCGAATCTGGACCAATAGTGGACAAGCAGCCGCACTACTTACACACTACGGAGAGTTTAGGCAGGTAAGTTGAGTTTACTATCGTCTGTACAGTATATAAATTACCTACTGTAAGTCTAATACAGTACTGTAATTTTATACATTTCTTGTGAAAAAAACATTTCGTATTCAACAGCCATAAAAATTATTTCTATTAATGATGTCTCCAAAGTTAAGTTATTTTTCTGCAAAAAATTCGTTGATCAGAAAATGCCTACTGTTTGGTGCGCTGCTCCGCGATGAAAACAAACTTAAGCAATGGTGTTGTCGAACAGTGCACACTTAGTGAGTAATCCTACAATTTTTTGTTTATAGCATAGTTTATACGGATTATTCCAAAAATATTATGTGTGTTTTGGAAATGTTGAGTCGAATTAGTCTAAAATCAATTAATTTTATGGAAGAAAACCTTTCAAACAGCTGTAGTCCATAAACTGCACACATGCCAGGATGTGATTGGCTCATGTTTTTAAGGATTCCTACAACGCAAAATTCTTATAAAGTGGAACGTATCTACCACATTATAGGGGGGGGGGTCGACTGTAATCATTTCTGCTGTTTATATAAAATGTGAGAAATGTCCGTAAAAGAGCATAGTTTTATTTCGTTCCATAGAAAGTACTCGACCACAACTACCAGCCTCTATGGAACGAAATAAAATTACTAAAATGCTGCAACAAACAAAAAGAGCTATTTATTTGGGAGACACTCTACATTTCTACTACCATACCATGCAACTCCCCAATTTTTGAGCTCCCACAAATTTGGATAACAGCTTTCAAACAACTCAAGATAAAAATACTCCTTCGTTGCTCATATGCTTATTTTGCCTTGGTGCGCATAAATGCATGAACTATGTTCTTTTACAGACATTTCTCACTTTAATATTTATTTATCATTATTTCTATGCGCTATGACGTAAGAACCCTTAAATAATATTCAAAAACCATAATCAGCTGAACCGTTGGAAATATTGTTCAGAAAGCTTAAACTATCGAATTCTATGTACCGCTTGAAGATGGTAGTTTTACACTACTGAAAGTGCTAGCGGATAAAACCTTTCTCCAAAAGTCAGATAAATTTCTGTAACCAGAACTCCACTAATGTAAGTGTTCTAATAATAGTATACGTCGGCATGAAGTGCAAACTTATTATATCATGGAGTTTATCTGCTCAGATGGTTAGAACTTGAAAGGTTTTAGAACAAATTTGGAATTCTACTAATTCATAAAGTCTCAAATTTGGAATGGCCATTTCTTAGACTTTTAGTTTTAGCCTAATAAATGAGCCAGAAGGCTCAAAAGATCAAGACTGGATGTAAAATTGTGTTTTGGTTTCTCCATTCAAATAGTTTTTTTTAAAAAACTTCTGAAAATATAATTCATTATACTAGACAGAAACAACGTTAATTTTATGAGCACAATGTGCTAAAGCATTTTCTAATGTTTTAGCATTTATCAGTTACAGTTAGACTGGTAGAGTGTACAAATAACTTCACACAGTTCATTGGAACATTGCTAGTGTTTCAAGTGTAACTGCAAAGGGCCAAAGCAAGCCAACAAATCACTAAGTTCATTACAGAATGATATGAATTCAGCAAGATTTGTTTTGATACAGTGTTGAATGTATGTCATTAGTTCCTCTTTAGAAGTTGATCACTGTTCATTAAGTTGTTGTTCCACAAAATTTCAATGGGTTTAAGTCTGGGTGATTGCTTGGGCAAGGCAGGATTGCAATCTGGTATTTTTGTAACCAATGTATCGTTGACTTTGCGGTATGAGAGGATGCTCCATCTTGTTGAAATAGAAATGTTTTCTCAATTAAATCCTCTGCTGATAGTATCATAAATGTCTCTAAGATGTCTTGATAAGTCTGTGCATTGACATGTTCCCAAAGAATGCACAGTTGTCTTACATCCTACGCCGTTAGCATTCATGCACCCCCAGATCATGACAGATAATGCAAACTTCATGGATCTCTTCATACAGTCCTTTCCAAAGACCTCTTTGGTTGTTCTCTATACATTTAGGCCTTGGTCACTACAGGAGAGACAAAACAGAGATTCGTCACTGAAAAGGATGTTATTCCAATTGTCTTGATGCGGAGAGAAGCTCGTGTGCAACATCTGACACTTGCTTGTTGTTGCTTTTTTGTCATAGATGGCTTTGTCTTGGGAACACGGAAGTTGAAGTATAAGTCGGTCAACCTTTGGCACGTGGTTCGGCTGCTAACAAGTCAGTCCAGTTGCTCTCCATTGTGCATGCATGTGCTTAATGCTCTTAAAGCGGTTTTGCCCGACAACTCTTCTCAAGTTTCTCTCATCCCTCATTTAAGTCCACATTTCTGGTGTTTATTAGTTAAAACTTGAACACAGTTTTGTTGTTTCAGTACTCTAGAGACTGTTGGCTGCGAGCATTTTACATAATCTGCAAGTTATTTTCGTGTTTTTCCTACTTTGATAAGGCTATGTTAATATCTTTAGTTCTGTCACTGATATCACACTTATGCTCCAAGTTGTACTGTTTTATTGCACTGCTCAGTAATATGGAAATTTGCATTATAATATAGTTTTTTTTATGGTTGTTTGTTTGGATGTTTTAATTTTTTGTCATTTCATTTCCATTTTTAACAAAAAAAGTTTGAGTTAATTTGTCTGATTAATAGGTATAATAAATATACATAGACCTTGTTTATGTAAGGTCAAAAAAGTTTTGTACTCTTTGTTGTTCATGAGAAAATGTACACTAAACTTTCAGTTAGGTGAATATTTAATTTCTTGTCTAGGAGTTGTATATTTATAGATAAAAAATATTCTTAAATAATATGAATTAACTTTCTTAAATCATTATTTTGCTACTGTTAATTTTTGTAGGTTATCAATCTATTATTTGTTTACAATTTTGTCTACTATTTCCTTTGAAGTTCCATAATTTTTAGTAACAGGCAAAAAATAAGTTATTAATCCTATAATTAAGTCTTTTTAAAAATTCCATAGTTTCCTTACTACTGGTATAATCTACTTGATTGCTTATTTTTTTCACCAGAAAAGTAGTGTTAAAAATATTAGTATATAATGCAATAAGCAGCTATTTTCTTTGTTATTGATGAGATAAAAATATTTTTAAGAATATATTATAGATCCAGAAATGCATTATCTCAAGGAAATTTTATATTTATATCATGTTTTTCACATTAAAGATCAGTGTTAACAATTTTTGAATGCATTATTACAATGTCTTGCAATGTCAAAATTCCTAAGTAAAACATTGTAGATAGGTAAGATCCTTTTGATATAAAATTACTTTTTGTTGGGATTACAGTACCAATAATTTGCTTATTATGGAACTAAATTAACTTTTTGTGAGATTTTTTTTTATTTCTCTTTTGTGATTTCTAAATTTAATGAGAATGGTTAAACTAGGTTAGGACATGACTGGATTATAAAAATCTGTCTATTTTCAAACCAGTGTTTAAGATGAAAGACTTTTTCAAGATTAAAACTAAAAATGCTTATAAAGAGTTTTATAGATTTCTAGATATTTTAGTAGCAAATTAAAAATGCATTTTTACTAAATATATTATCAAAATTTTTAGATATTTAAAAAAAAATCAAACAATTTTAATTTTACTACCATCTTAAAAAAAAAACAGTGTTCTAATAATGTGATTTTGTATTTTGACAAAACTGTAATACAATATGATTAGTAATGTAAAAATAAACTGTTGTTAATGAATGCTGCATGCTGAAGTGCATAGCTTGCTTTAAATAAAATATATAACAGTTATTCAGCCTCATGCAGTGAGATTAATATTGACTAATTTACCACACTTTAGCAGTCTCTTCTTCTGGTAAAGTTATTCTTGATGTCCCTTGGTCTATACCAGGGTGAAGTCCTTAACATTACAAGAAAAAATCTTGTAGTGGGTATTTAATTCTTAAAAATTATTTAATTTACTTTAACATTTTATTCATGGTAAATATTTCTTTAGAAAAGTTTACCTGGTAAAGGTGGTGCTGAAGGTGATGTCAAATTAGCCAAAGTATCTGTATTTAAAGTTGCACTAACAGTAATAACAGGCATCCCTGGCAAACTCAAAGCAGTTGTAAGTGGAACTGCTGATGAACTGATATTTGTTTGATCTACAAATATTAAAAAATGAGAGAGAGTAACAACAACTTTTTAAATTATGATTTTATAAAACATACCTCCTATATCAGAATTTGCTTCAATCTTTTCTACTGGATATATTGGTGGTACAGTTGTTATTGGAACTGAAATTAAAAATAAATATCTAAATGAGATATATATATATATATATAAATTGTTTAATTTCAGCTAAGAAATATTAAATAGATATTATACCTGGATTCAATGGTGTATCTAATTTTGCTTCTTCATTTAGATGTAATGCATTAACCCCTTGGATTACATCTGCAGTTGTTAATGGAACCTATAAAAATTGACAGTAGATGTATTTTAATTTATTTACAAGAACAGAATATATTCTTTTAATGCAAGAAAAAATTTTTGTTTTATATTTAAATCTTCATGTAAGAATTACAAATATACAGTCTTTAAAGTCTTTTTAATTTATTTGTTTAACATAATACTTTAAATTTCAATTTCTTTTCATTAAGACTATTGCATAATACACGTATACTTGAGTTTAAAAATTTTCATGGAATTGGGATTATCTGTCTGTTTGAAATATGATTAATTGAATTTATCATCTACATTGAATCTGAATAATATACAATAGGATTTACTTATTGCAGTCAGTTCTGCTAATTCTGATAACTTTAATCTGTATGTTTTGAGATGTTTATATTTAAACATAAATCTTCAAGTTATAACCTTTATAATTATAAATTTTTTACTAAATTCTTTTAACATATTCTCTTAATTCCAGAATTTTCACTAATTTGAATCTTCCTGCTTCATGTTATCAATCTTAAAGCAATTATAAGCCTTTACAGTTTTTGAAAAATATAGAAAGTTTATTTTGAAACTAACTTATTTTTAGATCTACAATTTTTTCAAATTGCAGTCCAATTACTAGAGAAAAGCTAGATAAATTTGACAGTTACTAGAATAACAATGTCAAGATTGAAAGTTATTTAGAAAGTTTATTTTGAAACTAACATTTTTAAAAAGCATGGCTATTTCAAGGTGATAAAACAATTATAAAAAGCAGCTTTCAAAAAGTTTTAGTAAAAATAATTAAGATTTTTATGCATTATTCAAACTGTAAATACAGTAGAGCATCGATTATCCGACTCAATTGGGGACTCAGGTTGGTCAGATAACTGAAAAAATCGGATAACCGAAAAGAATGAAAAAAATACATTATTAGTACAGTATATTAGGATATTGCTATTAACCAACTTCACATTGAATTTTCAACCATGTTTAGCCAAACAATTTTTTTTTTAAAATAATAATCGTCGCTATTGCATCATTAAAAATTATTTTTAAATTGTTTGTTTTACGAGCAATAAAATAACCATTCATAATTAGAAAATTAAGTCTCGTTTAAATACTGGCCTCCCTTCAATGGTCGAGCCAGTGTTGCCAGCTAAAACATGCAAAAATTTAACAAAAATAATATTAAAGCATCCAAGACATAGCCAAATATTGTAGCGCAACATCACTAGCAGACATTTGAAATTTGCTGACTAGAATGGTCGGTTAACTGATGTGACGGTTAATCAGGGGTCGGATAATTGATGCTCTACTGTAAATACAATGAAGAATTGAAAATATTAATTAAAATTCAGCTTTTATATTATCACCAGTTAAAAGGCCCAATGCAGGCATCGGGGCATACTAAATAGTTAGCATGTATAACAACGATAAATAATTAATTACAAATGGTTTACCTAAAGTGCAGAAACATTCAGCAGAACACTGTTGAAAGTGAACTGCTCCATAACTATCATTATCATCTACTAAAACCAATATCCCTACATCCAATTCTCATGAAATAATTTTCAAAATACCAATAATATACTATATATTTCCATTATGATTGCAAAGAAATACCATAATATCCTGTCTCCAGTTCAAAACATAGTTATGCCTTTTTGTTTCATTCTTATGTTTTGAACTGGAGACAGGATATTATGGTATTTCTTTGCAATCATAACAGAAATATATAGTATCTTATTGGTATTTTGAAAGTTATTTCATGAGAATTGGATATAGTGATGTAGGTCATAGTGCATGACAATGATATAACTATCANAAAATCGACGCTCTACTGTATTAATATTTAAACTGAAAAACTGGGCAGTCTCTATTATATAAATATCAAAGTATCAACTTCCTAGCCATAAGAATAAGTGAGGATCATGTGAGCCCAATTATCATCATTGCTACTGCAAGGCTCAGAAGGAACCAGAAATGTCTGGCTAATGGGCTCTGGTAAAGCTGTGACAGACCCAGCAAGCTAGCAGTGGATTCTTCTTCAGCTAAAAAAGATTCAGAGAGTATAGTTTATTAGAAAATGATAACTTGGTCAAGTTAATGGAAAGCAACTCAGATTATTGGATTTCTACTAGTGTTGTAACGAATAGTATATTCGGCCTTAGGCCGAATACCGAATAGTAACCGAATATTCGTTACATCACTAATTTCTACACATTATGTCATTAACAGAGAAAGTTGAAGAACTAATAGACACTATGAAGGACAGCAATTTAAATATACTAGGGTGAAGCAAAAGAAAATGCATAAATGGAAAAGCAAAAGGAGACAAAATGCAAAACAAAACAAGCAATTATTTATTATGACATTGTCACAATGCTGGGTTGCAATTTTTAATCCCATTTTAAATCTATTTAGTTTAAAATACAGTCGACCCCTCTATAACACGGGTTCCTACAGTTCAGATTCCTCTATCATGGTGAAAAAATTGAGACAGTATTTGTACAAACATGCTAAAAAATCTTGTATAATTTGGTAAAATGTCATCACCGACTCGTGTCGTGACAGGATTGGTCAAATCTAGACCAATAGCAGATATTGTACAAACCGTTGAGTTTAAACGAGCAGCGGACCTACTAAAAACCATTTATTATTTAACGTCCATAAAATTATATTTATATTAATGATGTCTCCANCACATTATGTCATTAACAGAGAAAGTTGAAGAACTAATAGACACTATGAAGGACAGCAATTTAAATATACTAGGGTGAAGCAAAAGAAAATGCATAAATGGAAAAGCAAAAGGAGACAAAATGCAAAACAAAACAAGCAATTATTTATTATGACATTGTCACAATGCTGGGTTGCAATTTTTAATCCCATTTTAAATCTATTTAGTTTAAAATACAGTCGACCCCTCTATAACACGGGTTCCTACAGTTCAGATTCCTCTATCATGGTGAAAAAATTGAGACAGTATTTGTACAAACATGCTAAAAAATCTTGTATAATTTGGTAAAATGTCATCACCGACTCGTGTCGTGACAGGATTGGTCAAATCTAGACCAATAGCAGATATTGTACAAACCGTTGAGTTTAAACGAGCAGCGGACCTACTAAAAACCATTTATTATTTAACGTCCATAAAATTATATTTATATTAATGATGTCTCCAAAGTTCAGCAAATTTTTTGCAAAAAAATAATTTATCAGGAAGCACGCGAGCACCATTCAATGACAATGTGAGGTAGCAGAAATTCCTATATTAGAACTAGTCTTTATTAGAACTATATTAGAACTATATTAATATTGTTCGAGTTATGTAACAATTGTTGTTTGTAGCTACCCGAGAAAGTCTCCCATTTCATTTTCTTGAAGGCAACATGATGCTTTCTCGCGATCTTTTAACCTCTGGATGGCTGATATCGTCCATGAATATTGCCAGAGACGGGCAAAAAAGTCAGTCGTTGTCTGTCCCTCTGTCAAAGGAAACCTGCACCGATTACTCTAGGAATATTGTCGACCAGTACCCATTTTGGATAACTTGTGCCATCATTGTGCTAGTGAATTTTATAGTGGAACTAATCACCATCGGAACTATTATCACCCAACAAGAGCTCCATTGGGAGATCACCAGGTATTTATGCAACTTGCGCTCGTTATGTGAACTCTCTCTCCGCGAAAAAACTTTAGAACTGCTGTATCTTATCCAATTTATTTTTACTTAAATCCTTGTTAAATGTTAATTGTAGTTTGAGTCTCTTCCACATGCTGTCTCTCGATCGGCTGACATTATGAATCCACCTGTCCACTTATGGGACTGCTTGCGCAACGGTGTGACTTGTAATTGCCATCTCGGCTTCCATGTTCCGATAAACATGGTGGTGTCAATCCTGACAGGGCACTAAAGAGGTGTTGACCCAAAAGGTCACAACAAGCTCCATGATAAAAACAAGCTTAAGCAATGGCGTAGTCGAATGGTGCATGCTCGGTAAGTAATCCTACAATTTTTTGTTTATAGCATAGTTTATATGGATTATTCCCAAAAAATTATACGTATTTTGGAAATGTTGAGTCGAATTAGTCTAGAATCGATTAATTTTATGGAAGAAACCTTTCAAACAGCTGTAGTCCGTAAACTGTATACATGTTGGGCTATGATTGGCTGGACTCGTAGAAAATGGATTCATAAAAACCAGAACATATCTACCGTGTTATAGAGGGGGTTGACTGTATATGCCCCCATCTGAAATTAGTAGTGGCTTACATCATTCTTTTCCTGTTAGCAATAGAGTCATGCCAGTCATCATCTAATTCCTTTCAGGAAAAAATTTTTGAATTGAAATAATGTGACTTCTGGTTTGCACCAGACATTCATGTATAATTAATTGGGGCCTTCTACCCCTAAGCTTTCCATATCTGCTCTCATCTTTCATCTAACTAACTCCATTCTTGAGATTAAGGAAGGAAGGACAGACAGACGGATGGACGACAGTGGAAATTTATAGATCTACAATTTTTTCAAATTGCAGTCCAATTACTAGAGAAAAGCTAGATAAATTTGACAGTTACTAGAATAACAATGTCAAGATTGAAATGGTATAGAGATTTAAGGAGGATAAATAAAAAAAATAATAATCATCAAGAAAGTCTTTTGATTTGATGCTATCAAAGTGCCACGACACCTACAGGGTGACCGTGAAAGTGATGGAGCAATCAGGTGAGGGAGGATATTGAAGAATTAGGAGAAAGCTGGAGACACATTGTGAAATGACAGAAAGTAGTGGAGGGATTTGACTTGTCTGACTCAATAGGATGTTGGAACAAAAGATAGAGCTTAACTGAATGCCAAATCATTAAAAGCTTATTGGTGGTATCCAAATAAAAAATACTTTCATGTTGTATATTAATCCTTTTACCAGCACAAATGAGAATTTTTTTGTGCTTGCTATTTTCAGTAATACCAGCTTTCCCAAGAATTTCTTGTACTGACTATCTTGACACCATTAATATACGGCCAGGTTTTATCAAGCAAAAACCAAACCATCAGCAAAAAGATTAAAGTCAAATATATTAGATGATAGTTTAGTTTAATATAAATATATTTATAAACTGATGAAGTATACTGTATGACTAATCCCCAAAAATCTTTTAATCTTTATTATGCAAATAACTTTGAAATAAAATAGTCCATGATAGAACAATGCAATATTTTCTCAATGAAAAATGTTAAAGCATGGTTTTTGTTTTATCTTATTGAGATAAAAATTTAAGTAAAATCACTAATTATTCATTCTGCACTAAATAAGAAATAATATTCTTCCTTTCTTAATTTTAGCTTCCAATTATAATAATTACATTTTACTCTAGTATATTTTTTAAGTATAAGTGCTAAGAGCATTGATACTAGAATGTTTTCTGATAGATTATTGATCAAATTATTCAGAAAGGTCTGAATAAAATATTAAAATATTTTTCTATTCATTTATCTAATAATTAAAATTTATGAAATGCAGCATTTTAAAATTATTTTTTACAAGAACTACTTGTGTTGCTCCAAAAATTATTTACATTAGTGATATTTAATAAGAGATCTATCAAACCTCAAATAATTCTATTTTCAATAAATTAAAATTCACCTTTCCTACTTAATTTGCCAAAAAAAATTTTATTACTTTGATTTTTTTGTCCAATCTAAGTTTTATCTCAAAATAATTGAATGTGTCATGCAGTCTCTCAATTCGAATAGCAAATGTTTCTAATTTCTTAAATTTAATATTAAAAGTTTAAAATATCTGTAATTATATCTACTTCATAAACTATATTAAATAATAATAAATTATCTTTAATTTTATTTCAGATAAATTGGAAAAATTTGAAATTCTGTTACTTTTAAAGTTAATACAAAACAAAATATGATTCATAGGATGTCTTTTAATTTGATCTTGAGAAATGTGATCACTATAAACTGCCAAGTTTCATAATAAATATATTAAATGGCACTTACTGCTGAGAAACCATCTTTAGAAGGTGTACTTCCTGGCTGCACATTAATTGTTTGCTTCATGGTAGCAGAAGTAGTAGCAGTAGGACTTGTTAATGCTTTAGGTTTATCCACAGGTTTTGTTGGAATCCGATGTAAATAACCATAACCAATTCCACAACCTAAACTAAGAGGTGATACACAATTATATAAAAACAATTGCTCATAAAAATTGCATTGTTAATTATTTGTTTTTCACATTCTTATGTTAAGAAATGATTAGACTTAGTGCTTTTCTATACACAGTAAAATTTAACAGGCTATCTCTTATTTGGTTCATGAATTTTTAATATTATTTTATAAATGGATCACTGTTTTATCCAAATATAAAAATTTTACTATTTTTTAAAGATTAATCTGACAACCATTATTAAATTAAATTTTAAAATAATGATAACTTTTATATTTATTAGTCATTATTAAGTTTAATTAATATGCATAGATATAAAATTTAAAAAAATGCAAGTAAAATATATCAGTTCTATTTTCAACATAATGGAAACAGTTAACAATAAAAATTCCAAATGTTTTAAAAATAAAAAAATCCTATAATACTGACAGAAATACTGTATATATAATTTTTTCAGTGCATTTTTTTTCTATTATATGCAATAATATTTATTGTCAGTATATTTAATTGCATTATGTACTTTAATGGTATAATAATTCAGCAAAAAATAAATGTCCTTAGGAAGTCCCAATACTACTGATACTGTATCAATACTTTCCTTCTATACTTTTAGTCTGATATCAATATCCATATCAATACTGTAATTTGGGTATCAAATATGGTATTGTTACATTTTTCACAGACAGGTAAGGTCTGACCAAAACCAGATTTTGCAGTCAAATCAGAAACTGAAATTTTACACTATTTTTGGTTAAGTTAAATTTATATAAAAAATGTTAATGACCAAAAATCAATAATTGTATTACATCAAATTTCATTTCCAGAATCTATATTTAAACATGATGCAGCAATTTTTTTGTTAATCAACTTGGACCATCAGTAATGTTTAAAATTAGCAACAATTTGTATATACTTGTTTGTACTGACATTTGTAAAATTTGAACATGATAAAGAACTTTCAATATAAAGACACTGTTTCATCTCTTCATCAGTGATTTTTTTATCCACCCCATCCCATGTATAGTAGTACCCACAGAGCCCATTACCAGGACTGTAGATCTGAGGCTTCTTTCATGTACAGTACATGAGACATCATACAAGTGTAAACCAAAGTACTGATTGATGCTCTCTGACTTCTGAATCAAGTCACTGGGATTCAATTCTCTGGATTAAGCAACAAAATATTAATTGCTGCTCTGGGTCCCATGCAGTCTTCATTATAATGAGTACAATACCTTCTCAGAAGTAAAAACAACTGGAAGACAAGAAACTGAACAGCAACATCCATCAAGATTTCCAGTTTCAATACCCTGATGTATCAATACTTTAAGATTGATACCAATACAAATATTGGTATTTTAAAACTACTCATGATACCAGTATCAATACTTTTGTGGTATCAGAACATCTTTACATGTGTATAAGACATTTAGGGATGAAATTATGTTATTAATTTAGCTTGTAATCCTTGAGAAATGTGCAAAGAAAGATTTGTACAATTTAACATTACTAATCAGTCCACAAAAAGATTAAAATTTGTGACATATGAATACATAATTGCTGCTAATATATCAAATTTTTCAGTTCATTTGATGCAGATAAATTAACAGAAATTTTATATCATTAAATGAAATTTTTAATTTGAGCAAAGTGAAGCAGAGCTCTTTTAATGATGCCTTTGATGTTGGTGTGACAGTTAACTTCTCTGAAACCTCTTAACCAATTTAAATCATTTTTTGTACACAAATAGAATTAATCTTGGTCTAGGTCAGGGATCACCAAACTACGGTCCATTGCCACAAATGAGCTAAAATATAATCATTTATATGGAAATATCATGGTTTGTAGATAAATTTGTTTTAATTTTTTCTACATAGTACATTTAAGTAAAAATGCCAAAATTAGTCTAATCTGATTTTTGCATCTGAGAGTAATATAACTTTTAGGAAAATCGGTGAAATAAAAAATTCGGCAACTTTGGATATCAGAGCACTTTTTGTGTAAGTACAGTGCCTGCAATGAAGTTTCTAAGAAAAGCCATTACATGCTTGCTGCAGCCATCATGCTTGTGTATTCAGTGTGCTGTATTAAACAAAATGGTTATGAGGTCTGCTGTGGAAAAAGTTTGGTGACCCCTGGTCTAGGTCATGACACAAAAGTATTTTAAAATTCAACTTGTGACAAATTTACAAGATCAAAGTTTACAAAGTTAAGTCTACAGGTAAGCAAAGTGAGGTGTCTGGCCCACATGCACAAGTTTACAAACTTAGCAGGTTTAATTTAATAAATGAGAGAAAATTAAATATTCATTAACTGCTTTTTATGAAGTGAAAATGGTGGATACTTGAAAATAGCAATTAAAATTGGAGATTTTTCTTTTTCTTTTGGAACGAACAAAAATTACTACTAACATTACAAGCACATATTATATTGAAATCACACAAAAGAAGTAAATCATAACTGCACAATATTTGTTTTTAATTTCTTGTTCATTTTTATACTTTTATAATTTCAGATCCAAAATTTAAAAATTTTTTAACATTGACAATTATATTTATCATGCATTCAAATTACTTTGAAAATATATTTAAGATACTAAATGTAGTAAGTAATTTAGTAATTATAACTTATAGAATTTCTCCCATAAAACTGAAGAATATAGTGCTTTTTATCATAAAAAAATTTTGCTTTCTTTAATAAATAAAAGTAATAATGATGTATTTTTAATCTTTATACCTTCATAAACTGTGATTTATAAAACAATGAAGTATTGTATTTATTATTTTAAAATTTGCCAAATACTTATAAATAGCAAATACCATATTTACTCGAATGCAAGTTACACTTTTCAGATTTCGGTATCTCAGAGTAGAATGCTTCTTAGAAAAATAAACACATGGCACTAGAGGTTGCTAATAATTATGATGTATTACATTGAATCTGTCACTAATGTATCATTTTAATGATTTTATTAGACCAATATTCCTAATAATATATATTTAAGAGATGAACTTAGCTCAATCTCATTAATCCATTACAGTTACATCATAATTACTTTGACAAAAATCAGAGTAAAAGTTGTGAAACATTCTTTCAAAAAACTTTGCATAACGAATGAGCCAAATGACACTGAAGATGATTGCATGTGGAAAGATGTGAGTATCAACTGTAGTGTTGATTCAGAAGAGCCTAATAAAAAAAGTAATTCAGTTTCTGACTTCACTATCACAAGAGATAGTGATATACAAGGTATTTTATTTAACTTGAGACTGAAATATCTCAAGAAATACTCATCATACAAAAAAATGTTCGAAACAAACCCTCAGTATTTTGGAGAGGCCAGTTCAACCCTGCAAAATTTAGCCTTTCTGTCACCCACCAAGGGGGAAAAAATTTGTAAATTTAAATGGAAACTACCATTTTTCATAGTAGATTCAAATTCTACATCAAAAATTATGTAGAGCTTATCTGAAACATTTTTTCAAATAGTGGTAAATGGCATTTTAAATCAATGAAAATTAGTTAGGTCCTTTTTTCAGGGAAACCCAAGTTTTATTGCATAATGATTCCAGACTGGAAGAAAAGTAACTTTGATGGCCAAACATGGTTTTGAGTCATTGCAGATGGTACTGCAATTGGCCATCCCGAAAGTGAGAGGCGAAAAGACACTTTCCTTCAATGAAGAATCATTATGCTGTAAAATATGTGGGTTTCCCAACAAAGCTCACATAACTGTCACTGATTGCATAGTAATTGCATTGTAATTTTAAATCCAAAATGATTGTGGCCATCCATATTAACTGAATTTCTGGTTATTGAAAGAACCATCAGCCCACATTATCTCAGATAATTAGTGTTGTTCTGTGTATAACAAGGTTTGTGTCATAAATTTTGGCCACATTAATTTTACTTCCAAATAATGACAAAAGAAAATTTTTTACGTCAGTATAGTCTATGTATTGTACTGTACCTTTATTTACTTTTCTATAAAATCTCTGTTCTGTTTGATATATAATTACCATCATTACAGAAGTTAAAACAAATTTGTAATGCAGAAGAATTTTTAGACAGATTGCATATACAACAAACAGTTTCAATGACTGCTTCTTAATGTAATCAAATATGTGTTTATCTGATGGGGCCAAATCTGGATTGTAGAGGAAATGAATTTTTTTTTTTAATCCAACAATAATCTAGAAACCTAATGAAAAACTGATACAGTAGAGCTTCGAAAACTCGGCACTCGATAACCCGGAACTCCGGATAACTCGGCCACACCCTGGCAGGGCAAAAAAATCCTTAATTAATTTTCATGATAAAGACAGCTTTATGCCTCATAAAGTATTTTTCTGAGGTCTGTCTTATCAGGTAAATTACTGTACAGTGTATTCATTAATTTTCATTTTCATATAGTAAAGGCTCTATGCCTTCATAAAAGATGTACTTTTCCTTTAAGGGTATTTGGGCAGTTTATTCTCTGTTGTATTTTCAAGTAAACAATACATACAAGTACAGTACAGTATTTTCTGAGGAAACACTAATACTTATTTTTTTTAACCCCATTATCGATAACCCGACATTTTCCCAAACTCGGCTAGCGTTCGGTCCACATTAGGCCGAGTTTTCGAGGCTCTACTGTATCACAAACTCCTCACCAGCTCTTGCATTGCAAATGATCAATTCCAAAATGTACTGAAATTTCTTTATCAAATGTGGGCTCTTCCTTATGAAAGTTTCATGTTTGTCTTGGGTGATTTTGTTAGAGGCAATTTATAGATGACAACTATAGGTTTGATCTGTGATGTCTATTTTATCATCTTTATTTAACTCATTGTATGACACTGCAAATACTCATGCAAGCTTTTCTATATTCATCTTTTAGTCTTTGGTAAATATCAACTGTAAAAATTTCCTCCTTAACAAGGAATTCAATCATTTCACACTGTCAAAATAACATAATGTTGCCTGCTATTTTTTCATGTCATATTACTTTTATCAGCCACGTGGAAACATCATTTCACATTATAGAGTGCAATATATCTGCACTACCAGATATATATTGTATTCTTGTCAGTGATTTACTTGTAATAAGATGTCAGCCATCAGTTTTGGTAAAGCTCATACATTACAAGAAAAATTTTTAGAAATTTTTGAATTTATTATGCTGTTTATAGTTGTTAGGATTTGGAGTAACAGAAATGAATTATTTCAAATTATTACAATAACTAATATAATATTTTTAGTGAAAATTGAAATTATGATAAACTCTTAATAGCTTTTGAATTATTTACACCCCACTCTTAAATAATATGGTTTATTAGTCATATTCTAATAAATAGTTAAAAATAAAAGACACTATACCTTCCTTCACCACCCCATTGTTTGTTTGGTGTAATTACTACTTCTCGACAAGCATCCATTTCTACATTGTATACATACAGAGTTAACAATTTTCCTTCATGGGCATCAATTAGTGTAAATAAATCTTCTGACTATAAACAAAATATTCTCTAATTAAATTTATAAAATGTTACCTGTTTTAAAAATTGAATTAAATTTACCTCATGTAAAACTGAATCAGCTCCAATGATATAATCAGAAAATGGTTTTAGACCAGCTAAATCAGCAGGAGAATGAGGCTGAACATCCTAATAAATTTTATTTCAAAATATGTTAATGTTAACGTTAATTTGTTCCAAAGTATGAGATGTTTAATTCACTAACTATACAAATAAGTAATTATTAAAACTAGCAATATACTAAATTCAGAGTGTAATTTTACAGTTCTTTAATTAATTTATTATTCAAGTATATGTATGTACACAAACACACACAATTCATTTGTATATTTTTTTACATACGTATATTATAGCAAACAACTTGCATTCAATTCCAAAATAAAAACTGATATTAATAAGAACATTATAAAATTAGAAATACTTACCAAAACATGCCAAACATTTTCATTTGCACCTTCAAATGAACAGAAACGAATACTGACACCCAATAATCCCTGGCCACCCCATGTGTTTGAAGGAACAATTTCTACATCTCTTATTTTTTGTGTTTTGCTGTTATAAACTGTCATTGTTATGATTCTTTCTACATTATTTTTTAAAATCTCCTTTAATGTATCATTATCTTGATTCTGAAAAAAATTTAATTTAAATAATAAATATCAAACTCAGCTTCTTTTAAAAACGCTTAATAAAACATTTAACACCTTCTATTGCTTTATTTAAACACAAATGTTTTCAACCTAATGGAATAGACCATCATCAGGTAAACTGGCATTCAAATTTATTTCAAAATTGTATGAAATGGAATGTTCAATCATTATAAATTCAAAATTAAAGCAAAAAATAAATAAATTAACAAATCAATAACAAAAATAAATATACTAAATACATTGAAGCCATAACAATATAAATAATAATAATAAAATAAAACGAAATAAAATAAATACATAAAAAGGCATCACAATATAAGGGCAGATAGGGACTAAAAATTTGTATATTTTAATTTTTCTATCTGCCCTTATATTATGATGTCTAAAATTTTTATATATTTATTTTAATTTATTTTATTTTGTTTTATTTTATTATTATTTATATTGTTATGGCTTCAATGTATTTAGTATATTTATTTTTGTTATTGATTTGTTAATTTATTTATTTTTTGTTTTAATTTTGAATTTATAATGATCAAACATTCCATTTAATACAATTTTGAAATATGTTTGAATGCCAGTTCACCTGAGGATGACCTATTTATTCCATTAGTCTGAAAACTTTTGTGTTTAAATAAAGCGATAGAAGGTGTTAAATGTTTTATTAAGTGTTTTTAAATAATAATAAACAAATTAATAAATTAAGAATATTTATCCTATTAAGTTTTAATCCTGGGCAGAGAATAAAAAAAAACTTTTGATCCAGTAATTGGGATGCACTTAAAATTTAAAATACCAAACAAATTTATAATAGCTTACTTATACCAGCATTTCTGCTATAAATAAATAATTTAAATGTTTAATATAATCTCAAATATACAAAGCATCAATTTTAAAATTAGATCAGTAATTATAATAATTTCTTATAACTTAAATTACAATACATAGAGTAAAGAAGTAAAAAAAAAACTTGAAGCAGAACTAAAGACCAAAATACATATACATTTAAGAGTTTTAAGAGTGATATTAAAACATATTGGATGATATTCTCAAAAGATTCGTTGTCATTTGGAAGAAATGTGGTTGTTTACACTGGAAATCAAAAAATATATTATTTAGTTTTCTAAATTTATGAAGTATTTCTGGATTAAAAAATTTTATAATTTGGTTTTTATAAACAAGATCTATTTTATATTTTAAAGCAGATCATTGAAAAATTAAACTGCTTTTTCTACTTGTTTTTATAATAATTATAGTTATTATTTTCTATAATTACATTATTATATTTAGCATCTGTCTGCACCTTCATATTTATATAAATTTTAGATATACCATATGTCTGTTTGACATATGGTATATCTAAAATTTGAAAAAGGAATACTCAATTCTAAGACACCTTTTTTTTGGCCCATTTTTACTTTCCTGAAATAGAGACATGTTTGCATTTGTAATACAAAACAACAATCAGCAGTAATCATAAGTAGATCACATGCACCAATAATAAATGTTTTTAGCTATACTGTCCAATGGTCTCATCAGTTCAAATGTATTTTGTTAATAATTAGCATGTAATTTAACCTTTCTTTTAACATATAAAATGACTTTAAAATGACATTATAATAATCAGTTATTGATTTAAGAATATTATCTATTTTATGGCATTTATATCATTTTTCTAACTTCTTGTTACTTTTTAAATTTTAATAAAATTATTTTAATGTTTTTCTCTTCATAAGAAATGTTAAAATTCTACTTCAAACTCTGGATGCAGCTTAGAATTGAAGAACTACTGTATATGATCATCATAATCATGTTTTCCAAAATATAAAAAATTCAAAAACATGCTAAAACAAATCTTAAAAGATGAAAACTAAATTAATAGTTATAATTAGTAACAAGGTAGCTGATCTACTTATCTCTATATAAGATAAGTAGATCAAATCAAATGACAAAGATTATGCTAAATTTCCTGACTAAAGGAATGTTTATCAAGACTGTTTCTCTGAGTCAAATTGTAAATTCTAAAAAATTAATTCATAAGATATTTCATTATAATAAATATAATAATCAGTAATATTTTATTACTTCCACAATTTTTGACCAAACATAGCATTGCAATTATTTTCATCCTCCATACCAACTTTGACCAAACTTCTAATAAATTTTTATTTTCAGAAATAAAAATCATCTAAAACAGACAAGGACAATCATGTTTACTGGAAGAGGAAATCAGACCAGAGGTCCGGGTAGTGTAACTGGCAACACATCCACACGGTAAGCAGCAGTTGCAGGTTTGAGTCCCACTCCGGTCCAATTCTTTTCTTCCAGTTTAATCTAAAATTATTTAATAAAAAAAAATTATAATTATTAAATTTAATATGAGATGGTGCCTAAGGCCTCCCTCTAGTGTCAAATTCATTTGTAATTTATAATTATTATTGCCAAATTATAGCCCGATGATTTATCGTAGCTGATGGTGTGTTATTGCAATGTATTGGGTTTTACTAAAGATGTTTCTATTTACATCTTAATCTGTGTGTCAAATGAAGAAAAGTTATAAGTATATAAAAAGGCTATAGTGATAATTGAAGATTAGTTGTAAAGGAAATTAAAATACTACTTATAAGTCAGTGAACATGTATTCAAATTGTCAATAATTAAATTTCAACTTCCAAGATTCCCCCCCCATATATTGAAAAACTGGTCAAAAAGCAGCAAACCCAAAATAAGTAAATAGATGAAAAATTTAAGGAAAAGATATTACTACAATTTTAAATGAATAAAATCTGATGTTTTTGGCATTTCGGCCTGATTTCATATCAAAACATTTTATTCCCATACCATACTCACTATAGAGAGGTTGCCAAACATGTCTAAAGGATGAAAATCTCAATGTATTTTCAAATTGAAACAAAACATTGCCTATTTAAAACAGCTTAGAGAGTTCCAGCAATGCTTTCGAAACAGGAAAATATCTTTTGCTTTTATGCCAAATTCTATAACTATTTTAAAAAAAACAATACTAGACAATAAGATAAACCAATAAATTTTTATCATATCTGGGAGTTTTTAATCACATTATATACAAAATTATATTTTATTAAATATAATACCAATGAAGTAACAGCATACATAATTACGATGATTTAAATAATTTAACACAGTTTAATTAAGTTCTATTTCTTTTAATAATAATTTAAGAAAATTTACTAAATTTATCATTAAAAGTAAAATTTTTATTAAATTCGTGACAGCATAAATCAATGAATTTTATGTCCTTTGATACTTACAAGTCGTGTATTTCCAATAGCTACTATAAAGTCAAAGAATGCTTCAAGACCAGCACGATATCCTGGAGAGTTTTCCTGGACCTAAACAAAACAAATAAATAAATAAATATATATATATTTATAATTTAAATTAAATATATATATTTTCATTTAATTTAACAATTTAATTTAAAATATAAACTACTTTATATTTTATATTTGATGAAAAAGATATTTTTTTTTGTTTATCAAAGACAATGAATTTCTTTTAAGTTATTCAACTATTTAAGATATTTCTTTAATTATTAAATTAAAATCATATGATACCAAATTTCTTGTACAAAAATATTCAACAATACTTTTGTTAAAAAATTTTAAAGCAATAAAATAATTTAATTATGATTATTATTATTATAATTAGGAAAAGACCAAAATTGTTGTTTGGCTGAATATAAAATAATTATTCAGGCTTTTCTGTTGCTGAATATCAGCTGATTTATTAATTAAAAACTGCATGAAACAAAAGGCTTAGCATAAAGTGGAGGCAGTATTTCCTATTCAATAATAACTAGAAATTTTCCCGTAAAGCACGATGAAATGCTTTTTATGAGAAAGTAGAGATTGAAGTATTGAGAAGAGTAGAGATGTAGCTTGTTAGATCATTACTTCTGATTGGATAATAGAATGTCATGTGGTCACCATGGAAAGATTTTTTAAAAAATTTGTTATAAAAGTGACACAATGTGGCTATTTTTTTTTAAAGTTAAGTTAAGTTAAGTTAAAGGTACACGTACCATTAATTGGGAACCACTGATCTAAACTATTGATTTCAGTTTGATATATTGGTTATTGGTACAGCACTACTAATGACTGGTATTCAAATCTTATCATCAAAACTTAAAGCATCATTGAAAAGAAATATACACAGTAATTCTTTTTGTTCAATTAAACTAACAGGTTTTTGAAAACCATTACAAATAAAATTTAAAAAACTATGTTTAACATTGATTTTACTATTAAAAAACCTGGTTAATGTTACCTATGGTTCCAAAATGGCAGAACTTCCTGCAATCTCAATTTGGGGCATTGCTGGAATTGTTGTCAGAGGGAGCTATCTGATACAACGAATGACAAAATATGCAAATTATTAGATATGACGTAGTAGATGAATGTTTCTCGTGGAAATATGCAAATTAATTAATTTAATAGTTAGTGAGACATTTGCGAAGGTTTGTCATTGCATGTTTTATGTACTCTATGATAGATTTCTCTATACTATTTTTATACAAACAAGTTATTTAGGTAAAAATCTAATCTTAAATTTTTTAAATTAAATATTACGATAATTGTTGTTAATTTTTAATTTTTTGTTTGATGGTAATACAGCAATAATGAGTTTTGTAGACATCAATTCCGACGAATTTTGGTCCAGTCCAACCTGCAAATTTTACTAGTTAATGGAATCTGAATACAGTAGAGCATTGATTATCCGAATCAATTGGGAACTGGGGTTGTTCGGAAAATCGATATTTCAGATAACCGATTATGTACGAAAAAATATATTAGCCTATCCCATGTTGAAAATTTTCTCCGTTGTGTGTCGCTTCACGTTGAATTTTTGTTGATATTAAGCCTAACGAAGACTATTGTATTGTTAAAAATTATTTTTTTATTTTGTCCAATCAAAATAAATATATTGAAAAATATAAAAACAATAAAAAATTATACTTCAGAAGTTAATTTAGTATCAAAACGTAAAATATTTGAGTAGCCCAAGACATAGCCAAAGATTGCAGTGCCACAGCACTGGTGAAAATTTAAATTTGCTGACTGGAATTCTTTCGGATAATTGACTTTCGGATAATCAACCCTCTACTGTATTTGGAATTAGGTTTGGAACCAATTATCGATAATGCGTTTAAATTTGCTGTAAAGTTAGAAATACAACAAATGGATGGCATGTGCATTTTATGTTCAAAAACTCGTAAAATATATTATCGAAGAAACAGAAATTCTTGTCTTTTAATATGTAGAAATTGCGGAAGTATTCTGCTTACAAAGGATCCTTTAAGGGCAAATGTGGCAATATTTCTTGGGGTGGAATTTTGTCATTCATATATCTTTGTTTGGAATGTACGTCAACAAATTTGGCTGTTGCTGCAGGTATTTCTAGAAAGGCTGGCATCAATTGGTCAAATCACATACGTTTATTTATGCTTATAGCCTTGAATAACATAACATCATTTAAAATAGGTCCTAATAAAACTGTCGAATTAGATGAGACAATAATATGCAAACGCAAGTACAAAAAAGGGCTACAAAATGGGTCATAGGAAGAATATGCAGGGAGGACAAAAATTGCTTCATTTGTCAAGTGAATGACAGATCTGAAACCATCCTAAATTAGGTTGTGTCTAAGTTTGTAAATTTCGGTAGTCTAATTATCACCTATGAATGGAAGGGATATAATCACATTGATGACATTGAAGGAATAGATATTGAACATAGAACAGTTAATCATTCAAAAAATTTTGTAAACCCCAAAATAAGTGATCATACTCAAAACATTGAAAGGTTATAAGGTTTCAAAAAATAAAAAAACCTGCCAAAGCATTATACGAATGATCTGTCGGACTCATACATGCATTTGTTTATGTATAAGAAGTTCACGAATTGGCCCGCTAGAAAACCCGGAGATTTCAAATATTTGTAAAACACTTGAGTATGATATATCCAGGTACCAGAAGAACACCAAAATGGCTGGAACTAGAGAGTGTTCCCACTGCACTAGTTTCTAATATTAAAAAGAAGGAAACACAGGAAAGGGGGAAAAAAAGAAGACAAATAAATTGACTAATAAGACAAAGAAAGAACATCAACAAGTGCAGAGGAATCAACTACATCAGGGAAGAAATGTAGGAAAGAAAAAAAGAAAGGATCACTAACATGAGTAATATTTTTATAAATTTACTAGAATAAGTTATTTTAGTTTAGGAGGGACATCCTCTCCATTCAAAACATCAGTTATCACGTAGTCTCGAGAATAGTTCAAAATGGCAACTGGAAGTTCTGCCATTTTGGAACCATAGGTAACATTAACCAAAAAATTTAGTAAAATTTAAATATACTGAACTTGTATTCATTGCGATAAATTCAACTTCACTTTTAACTAATTCACTTAAATAATCATGTTTAATAGTTTATAGGAGCAAAATGAAAATTGAGATTAAATTTTGAAAATTTAACATTTATTGAAACTTAGTTTCATCTTCAGATCCATACAAAAAGAATGATGTTCAAGTATAGAACAAAAGTAAAAACTGATTTTAAAATACATTCTGTGAGAGCCCAAACTTAATGAAAAATTTTTAAATAAAATTTTTTGAATAAAACAAAAGAATAACATTAAAATAACCAAATTCGCACATTGAACACAGACTATAATATTACCAAAAAGAGCATGAGCAGTGAGGGAAAACTTCAGAAATAATAGAAGGGGATCGATGACGACAAAGGAGAGAGTTTGTCGATCATCTCAAGTTGGTTGGTCAGTTAAGGTTTGCTATCTCGTTAGTCACCAGCCTCAACTCTCTTGGACAGTTCTCCAGCTGTTCAACTATTTAAGACATCGGACAACTTACTCTCGGATTTACATCCACCTATCTGCAAAAGCTATTCCCTGTCCAGGGCCTTCTTATCAACATCCTGCACATCTATGAAATGTTTGGAAATCTCCAATGCCATCCATTACACCTCTTGAAGTTCCAAGGAAAAAAGTTCATCTCTTTGGAAATTCTAAGGTGTTTATCATCTTGCATCCCAATTGTAAACTCTCTCTTGGTTAGGGATCTGTCATGATTTAATCGATATGCTATTTAATTATTAACTCTAGTATGCATATATGTAAAATTCTATGAAAATAAACAGGTATTTGTTTAGAAAATCTGTTGTTGAATGCACTTCTTTTGGATACGCTGTCTCTCAGACCTCCTCCATCCTGAGTCCAACCACCTACAAACTTGATCGCTCGTGTGTGAAACCAACCTCTAATGACCATTGTGATTTCTGTGTCCCTAAGGGTGTAGTGGTGTCAGTCCTGATGTGGCATCTTGATATGGTGCCAACCCTGCGGTCACAATTCTATGCAGTGTAAAAAATTATTTTTACTATGTATAGAATGACCAAAAATGCCAGAACAAGAACTACCAGATAAACATACATACCAATACTGGAATGAAGATCCACCCATTAAATTTTCAACTAACAAGTAAATGCTTTCAGACTTTCTAAAAATATTCATAGAGGAATTCAAAAACATTCAAACCAGAAATCAGCCCTGAAGATGAACAAAAAAATCCAAAAACACTTATTTGAAAATTTAATAAGTGATCTTCATTAAGCAGTTTTGGTTTGTATGTTTATTATGATGGATTATAATAATTCAACTACCAGATATTTGTCAGTTTTCATAATGTTAATACAGTAGAGCGTCGATTATCCGAATCAATTGGGAACTGGGGTTGTTCGGAAGATCGAAGTTTTGGATAACCGATTATGTACGAAAAAATATATTAACTTATCCCATCTTGACATTTTTCTCCGTTGCATGTTGCTTCGCGTTGAATTTTCGTCGATGTTAAGCATAACGAAGACTATTGTATCCTTAAAAATTTTTTTTTTATTTGTACAAACAACATAAATATATTGAAAAATATAAAAACAATAAAAAATTATACTTCAGAAGTTAATTTAGTATCAAAAACGTAAAATATTTGAGTAGCCCAAGAAATAACCAAAGATTGCAACGCCACAGCACTGGCAAAAATTTAAATTTGCCGAATGGAATTCTTTTGGATGATTGACATTTCGGATGATTGACTTTCGGATAATCGACGCTCTACTGTACTTTCAGCTAATAATGGTTATACTAGATTAGAAGTAATTCTTTCCAATAGAAAACAGAGTTTAATAAAATCAATTAAATATGGATTAGTTAGTATACATAACATTAATGGTAGAGGCTAAAAATATATTTGCCTCTTGTTGTTTTGGGAAAAACACAATGGTATAGTATACCCAGACATGGGCAAATGTGGCTCTTTCTGAAAGTGTTAATTTCTGCTTTTTTTATTATTGTTTTTACAATTTTATTTCCACAATTTTGAGAAAATATGTTTATTAAAAAAATTCAATATTTGTTTTATATTATTTTTATATTATATAATAAAATTGCGGTACAGAATAAAAAAGTACAGAACTATGGCTCCCATGCATTTTGCAAAACCTACATTTCGGCTCCCACTGAACTCTTGCTTACCCACCCCTGGTATAATCGGAAGACACACAAATGATTGTTTTTCATATTTTTAAACAAATGCTCTTGGTAAGTTTATACAAAAAGAAACCTGTTTGAGAAGTTCATAAATTTCAAGTTAAACTAGTAAATAATCTTATATTGCATAATCCACACACCTGCATGAAATCAACTTTAACCCAACTACACGAAATTACAGAAATTTAATAAATAACCAACATAAGTATTTGAATTATATCATGGAAAGATTTTGAATAATAAAGTAATTATGTATGTAAAAAAGATTTTATAACCACTCCCTGATCAACTAAATAGACTTTGCATTATATGTAAAGAAAAACGATTACTTTATTTTAGATTTGAGAATGTTGTTTAGAAAAATTACAAGAGAGATGCTAAATGATTCCAAACCTTTGTGTTTTGTTCCTTACTTTTGCAAAATTTATTTGGAAAATCATTATGCCTAGACTCAGATTTTTGATGAAAATAGTGAAAACTAAAATTTGCATCTCAAATGAGTGTTTTCTTGTTTGTGAATTTTAAACATTTAAATGTTGAGAATGTTTTATACTGCATGTTGCTAGTATTATTGAGCTAATTAATACTTATTGCTATATGTCCCATTATTTCATGATGCACCAGTTTTAAGTAAATGTAATTTTTATTTAAAATATTTTTCAGTACATGTAATTTGAGAACATTTAAATTACATATTTAACTCAAATGTTATTAACAAATTTTGACTTTTATAGCATATAGTGTGTTGCATACTGAAAGAATGAGTATTCATTTGTAAAAAAACAACTTTTTGTAATATATAAATTAAATTATTTTTATAAAACAGATTATACTCTTCTATTTATACTGGATTCAGATGGAAATCATTCTGAATGTTTGAAAAAAATTCTATATTAATATAGAATATTTTTATCAAATATAATGTGATCAAGCTATTTCCTGTATTTTCTAATTCCCTACAGGAAACTATTTTTTAAAATAAAGTTTAGATAACTGCATACTTCTGTAAATTAAGATATTTAACTGAGAAAACACATTAAATCAATAGCAGTAAGAAATTAATTTCAGTTATTTAAAATTATCAAATAAAAATAGAAAAAGCATTATAAATTTATATTATTCCAAAACAGTAGTAGTTTGATAATTTCATCGAAAATATATTAGATCTTTAAAATATTAGAGTTAAGCAAATATATTACTAATGTTATCATAGACTTAATGCAGTTACAATCAGTAGCATGTTTAATTATTAATTTCATCAGTCTTAGAAAGGTAATATTCAACTAAATATTTTGTGAATATGTAGACCTTAAGTATGAAAACTTATATGATATCACAGAATATTTTATGTTGTGATAAAAAAAAAAGTTTGAAAAATTGAAAATTTTATATGTAATTTACCATATTTTATTAGTATATATTTAATTAAAAATAAAATACTGTATACAGTTTATCCCCTATAACACTGTTCATAATTCCGTTTTATATGAATTCCATGTTGTACAAGTCACTTAGATTTTATAAATATGTGTGCCAGGCTGTGAACGGCTCATGTATTTATAAAATCTAAGTGACTTGTACAACATGGAATTCATATAAAACGGAATTATCAACAGTGTTATAGGGGGGTTGACTGTGTCTGTGTGTGTGGGCCGCTGGTCCCATTGCGAGTTTTCCGATTGCGTTTATTTGCGAATATTCCGGAGCGTTTTCTCTGTGATCTTTCGTGCTTTATTGTTGAGCTCTTGGGAAAGTGACTACCTACCTCCACGCGGTGCGGCCTGTTAGTACCTTTTAGGGAAGCCAAAGGTAGTTGCGACTTGTTAAAAGCCTTTTTCAAGGCTATTTGTTGTGTGCGATGGCAAGTAAGCCACCACACTTTGCGGTTCTCGCCCGGACAGGGGGAGAAGAAGGGCTTGTGGAAGAGACACAGGCATCAACTCCGTCTCTGCCAAGTCGGCAGGATGGATCGCACGGCAATAAGGTCATTGCCGCCAAAAAGGTTCAAGATGAACTGCATGAGTATCTTGTGGCTAATGCCCATTCCAAAATTGGGACAAGGGATCATATTCCCCAGATATTAAGGAGAGTTGAAACAATTATAGAACTTTTAACTGAAAGTGAAGAACTAAAGAAGATGGTGTCCAGCATACAGAAGAATTTGGAAGAACTGAAGGTTGCAGAAGAAAGAAGAGGAGGAAGATCTTTTGCGCAAGTGGTCGCCAGTCCCCCCTTGGTTAATAAGAGGGCGGTGGAGCCAAGGGAAGTGGTTATTGTGCAGCCTACAGAAGGAGACAGTGATGCTGAAAAAACTAAGATGACAATAAAAGAAAAAATTAATCCTCAGGCCTTGAAGATTGGAGTTAGAGGACTCAGAAAATTACGAAATGGGGCTATTGCCATTGAAGTTGAAAAGGCAAGTGATAAGTTAAAGTTACAAAAGGCAGTGGTCGAAATTCCTGGAATGACTGCTCGTGAGCCTAAAAAACGCACACCAAAAGTAATCATTCACTCAGTACCTAAGGATGTAGAGAAAGGTGAGATTTCAAAGTTTGTGTACCAACAAAATGAAATATTGCAGGACAATAATACTGGACTTGAGGAATTTGAAAAGGGTTTCTTGGTAAGATTCCCTCTTGGAAACAGAAACAGGTCCACATCTAGTTGGGTGGTGGACGTCAGCCCTCAAAATAGAATTAAATTGTTAAAGTTAGGAAAGTTAAATTTGCAGTGGGTGAGGTGTCCAGTAGAAGATTTTGTTCCTATTGTGCAATGTTTTAACTGCTGTAGAATGGGGCATTTTGCCCGGGATTGTAAGCAAGAGACTCCCACATGTAGCCAGTGTGGAGAAGGACATAGATACAAGGATTGTCAGAATAAAAATACCATTAAAATGTGTTGTAATTGTAAGAGGGACAAATTGGCTGACACTCGGCATAATGCCCTTGATAGGAAATGTCCGTTAGTTTTGAGGGCGAAGGCAATTTTGATTAGTCGAACCGATTATGGAGATGGAGCATATTAGTGACATAGAAGAAATTAAGGTTATTCAAGGAAATTTGCAGAGGGCAATTGCAGCTACCTCGTTGCTTAATAAAAGGTTAGAATCGAAGGATATAGCTCTTCTGCAAGAGCCGTATACAGTTAAAGAGAAGGTTGCATGTCTTAGTGGGAGGATTCAAGTTCTTCAACATGGCGGAGTCAAACCGCTGGCAGCCATAGCAGTGTCAATAGTGGGTGTGGATGTTCACTTCCATTCTGAACTTAGTAACGAACAGTGNTAAGAAACTTCTTTATGATGAAAGGTTGTTTAACAGTATTAAATTTAAATGGGTACATGCTCATGTTGGAATTTACGGAAACGAGAGAGCTGATAAGTTGGCTAAAGAGGCGATTAAAAATGAACAAATAGAGTTTGACATTAGGCCTAAATGTTGGGCCAAGTTGTATTTGAAAAATCAAACAATCAAAATCTGGCAAGATTACTGGACTAATAGTGATAAGGGCAGGCAAACTTTTTGTTATTTGCCTAACATAGAAGAAAGATTGAAGCAAATGAAATGGTTGAATTACGATCGGATGGTGCTGATTTTCCTCTCAGGGCATGATGGCCTTGGTGAGTTTAAAAGGCGTTTTAACCTAGATGCAAGATTTGGATGTACTTGTGGAAAAGATATTGAAAATTTGCAACACATAATTTTTGAGTGTATTAAATGGCAACATCAGAGACACTTATTGGAAATGATTGCGCTGGCTGAGGGGCTAGGTTGGCCTTGTAGTATTTATAACCTTATTCGAAATGAACAGACTTTTAAAGAGATTCAGATTTTCTTTAGAAAGATTTTTAAGAGTAAAACTATTCAATTGTAAATAGTCCTGGACGAGTTATCCAGTAGTTTGTTTTCATTTTATTTTATTTTTGTAATTTTGTTTAATCATTGTGTTTATTGATAGTTAAGAATAAAAGATTTTTTTTCAACCCCGTTGTGCAACAGCGGTGCGGGGTGTTCTGATCCCTGTATAGGGAAGTGATGATCCCCAAATGAAAAAAAAAAAAAAATGTGTGTGTGTGTGTGTTTGCTTATAAAAATAATTTTCTATTATTTTGATAATGATTATCAAAATAAAATATGAAAATCAAATTGAAACAAATGTTTTTCAGTGTAACAAAATTCAGTGACAGACATTAATATAATTAAAATTTAAAAATATAAATAATTTCCACCATTTTATTCAAAATTAGTTAATTGTTTCTAAAATAAAACTTAAAAACAATCATAAAATAAAAAACTTGAATTATCACTAATATTTCATTTGTTCTTTTAATTATCCAAATGAAACAAAATCTGTTGGCAGCCATATGTGTTCTATTTTTAAGACAGGTGAATCAGCTATAAATTTAATTTAGTTGTTTTGTTAAGAACTCAATAGTAATTGTTAGAATTATTATTGCAGTGTTATGCAGATTTTTCAAATTTATTCCTTGAGGCATAAATAAATTTTTAAAAAACATTCAAAAATAAACGTTTTTTATTTTAACTAATAAATGTATTTTTATCATTATACAATATATTCTATTTAGTTAAAACAATAAAAATTCAATAATTACTCCAAAAGAGGAAGGAACTATTTAAAGAAATAAGTCAAATATATTCCTACACCTGTCGTTTGTTTTTCATTTTAATTTGCTTTCATTAAAAAAAGAAACAAAGGAAATCTTTTTTGACTTTTCCTTGTATTGTGCTTAATATGGTTTATGAAGAAAATTCTGTTAAATTTTCATAATTGTTACAAAAATTGAGAGGGGTGCAACAATTTTTCCTGAAAAAAAAGGAGACAGAGTTAGAAAATTTGGAAACCACTAAACTACTACATTAACTAATTGAAAGATCTAAAGATAGATTGAGAATATGGTGAAAGGATGACTTTTTTTTTCCAGTATGGGCAAAAATCTACCCAATGAAGCTTTAATCAGTTCATTCTATGCATTTATAAAACAGCATTTAATACAGTAATTATAAGAAAGTTGTGATTATGTACGAACATTTATAGTGAATAATAATTTATTATTTGGCAAAAATTTTTCAGTTTATTATTACACATTTGTTGTCATATTTATTTTAACACAATCTGTATAATTTCTAAAGGAAGACCATAATTTAAATAATGAAGAAAATAAAATATAAAGAATAAAAGTTCTTATTAAAATATTAATTATTGAATAGCTTTCATAATTGAAAAACTTCAAAAATTTACACATATTAAATGATTTAAAAATAATCCTAATTTATAATCATTAATAAACATAATTAATCTAAAATAAATAAAACCAAAAGTTATATACTTATTGACAGAAAGTTACATGTTCAGGTAGAACTGTCCAATTACTGCAAAACTCATCATACAGCTATGTCTCAGACAGATATCTAAATGATTATAGTTGTTGTCTGATTTATTAGATTAATACTACAAGGGTGCCATAATCTTAAAATTGCTACTCCGGTATCCTATGAAAAGGCTTGCAGACTTGTAGTGAGCCTCTGCAAGTCTTAAAGAGTACCTGTTGTTTGGAGATCTTTGATTGTAACACTTGCTTGTATGACACAGTCAGACATTATGCATGACTGACAAAGTTTGAAAAAGGAGATGAAAGCAAAGTGGTAGTTTTGTCAAACTGTCCTCATTTTGGTCATTCTGACCAGACTGCACGATAATATCAGAGGCAATGGACATGCTCTGGACACCCCAGACAGAAGATTGTTCATGAGACAAGCACAAAATAGCTATTGCATTTTTGTCCACTATCCAAAGATAGGTGAAAGCCTTGCTATAGAACAGGTGTGGCCAAACTTTTATCCCTTAGGGGCTACTTTTTTGGTAAAATATAGTCTGCGGGCAACTATGAATATGGGCAAACAATTTTAGGATTTTTATATGTGCATGCGTTAACATTCATTTGCATTGTTCATTGGGATAAATACAAACAGTATGGGTACGTTGCACAGTCTATTATTGTAAGAACAAATTATCGAATTAAAATTTTTAAACATTAATTTAAGTGAAAGCAAATTGTTCAACTTTAGCTTCGCGGACTACTTTCAAAACCTTTGCGGTCAACCGCAGTCTATGTGTTGACCATCCCTGCTACAGAATCCTGTCTCTTCCCATATTAGTAGTAGGCAAGCAGTAGATAAGCACAGACTATTGGTTTTACAACAAATCCTGATTCTGTTTAAGAATAGATGGTCACAGTGTTAGCAGGGATGTAGTCACATGGGATGGCAAGGAGTGACATTTCTCACATTAACACTCTTCCAACCCTCACTCTCTACTAGCCCCTAGTGCCAACCTCCATTACTGCCCCATACAAATTTAAAAGTGAACATAAAAAAAAATCACAAAGCAGTTGACCACTGGCAGAAAACAGGCAATCAGACTCAAATACTAAGTTACATGAACATCAAATACTAGTTACATGAAGGTAAAGAATAAAATTTAATACCTGTTCTTGTTCTGCCATTTATTTACTTGAGCATTATCATACATATTACTGATTTGTGTATGACATGCAAGGAGCTGCCTTACCAATATTGTAGCTCCTTGCACAATAATATGGCTCCAAGAACTAGCACCATTGTTTTCTTTTTATTTACATAATCTATGAATATTTTATTCAAAATTAGTTAATTGTTTCTAAAATAAAACTTAAAAACAATCATAAAATAAAAAACTTGAATTATCACTAATATTTCATTTGTTCTTTTAATTATCCAAATGAAACAAAATCTGTTGGCAGCCATATGTGTTCTATTTTTAAGACAGGTGAATCAGCTATAAATTTAATTTAGTTGTTTTGTTAAGAACTCAATAGTAATTGTTAGAATTATTATTGCAGTGTTATGCAGATTTTTCAAATTTATTCCTTGAGGCATAAATAAATTTTAAAAAAACATTCAAAAATAAACGTTTTTTATTTTAACTAATAAAATGTATTTTTATCATTATACAATATATTCTATTTAGTTAAAACAATAAAAATTCAATAATTACTCCAAAAGAGGAAGGAACTATTTAAAGAAATAAGTCAAATATATTCCTACACCTGTCGTTTGTTTTTCATTTTAATTTGCTTTCATTAAAAAAAGAAACAAAGGAAATCTTTTTTGACTTTTCCTTGTATTGTGCTTAATATGGTTTATGAAGAAAATTCTGTTAAATTTTCATAATTGTTACAAAAATTGAGAGGGGTGCAACAATTTTTCCTGAAAAAAAAGGAGACAGAGTTAGAAAATTTGGAAACCACTAAACTACTACATTAACTAATTGAAAGATCTAAAGATAGATTGAGAATATGGTGAAAGGATGACTTTTTTTTTCCAGTATGGGCAAAAATCTACCCAATGAAGCTTTAATCAGTTCATTCTATGCATTTATAAAACAGCATTTAATACAGTAATTATAAGAAAGTTGTGATTATGTACGAACATTTATAGTGAATAATAATTTATTATTTGGCAAAAATTTTTCAGTTTATTATTACACATTTGTTGTCATATTTATTTTAACACAATCTGTATAATTTCTAAAGGAAGACCATAATTTAAATAATGAAGAAAATAAAATATAAAGAATAAAAGTTCTTATTAAAATATTAATTATTGAATAGCTTTCATAATTGAAAAACTTCAAAAATTTACACATATTAAATGATTTAAAAATAATCCTAATTTATAATCATTAATAAACATAATTAATCTAAAATAAATAAAACCAAAAGTTATATACTTATTGACAGAAAGTTACATGTTCAGGTAGAACTGTCCAATTACTGCAAAACTCATCATACAGCTATGTCTCAGACAGATATCTAAATGATTATAGTTGTTGTCTGATTTATTAGATTAATACTACAAGGGTGCCATAATCTTAAAATTGCTACTCCGGTATCCTATGAAAAGGCTTGCAGACTTGTAGTGAGCCTCTGCAAGTCTTAAAGAGTACCTGTTGTTTGGAGATCTTTGATTGTAACACTTGCTTGTATGACACAGTCAGACATTATGCATGACTGACAAAGTTTGAAAAAGGAGATGAAAGCAAAGTGGTAGTTTTGTCAAACTGTCCTCATTTTGGTCATTCTGACCAGACTGCACGATAATATCAGAGGCAATGGACATGCTCTGGACACCCCAGACAGAAGATTGTTCATGAGACAAGCACAAAATAGCTATTGCATTTTTGTCCACTATCCAAAGATAGGTGAAAGCCTTGC